AATAATTTCCTATCTCCGTTAAAACGTCCATTCCCTTGTGGGATAAATCCTGACACTCTACCTAGCAGGAGGAGGGCACACTCTACCTAGCAGGAGGAGGGCACACTCTACCTAGCAGGAGGAGGGCACTATCTACCTAGCAGGAGGAGGGCACACTCTACCTAGCAGGAGGAGGGCACACTCTCCCTAGCAGGAGGAGGGCACACTCTGCCTAGCAGGAGGAGGGCACACTCTACCTAGCAGGAGGAGGGCACTCTACCTAGCAGGAGGAGGGCACACTCTTCCTAGCAGGAGGAGGGCACACTCTACCTAGCAGGAGGAGGGCACACTCTACCTAGCAGGAGGAGGGCACACTCTACCTAGCAGGAGGAGGGCACACTCTACCTAGCAGGAGGGCGGCACACTCTACCTAGCAGGAGGAGGGCACACTCTACCTAGCAGGAGGAGGGCACACTCTACCTAGCAGGAGGAGGGCACACTCTACCTAGCAGGAGGAGGGCACACTCTACCTAGCAGGAGGAGGGTACACTCTACCTAGCAGGAGGAGGGCACACTCTACCTAGCAGGAGGAGGGCACACTCTACCTAGCAGGAGGAGGGCACACTCTACCTAGCAGGAGGAGGGCACACTCTACCTAGCAGGAGGAGGACACACTCTACCTAGCAGGAGGAGGGCACACTCTACCTAGCAGGAGGAGGTCACACTCTACCTAGCAGGAGGAGGGCACACTCTACCTAGCAGGAGGAGGGCACACTCTACCTAGCAGGAGGAGGGCACTCTCTACCTAGCAGGAGGAGGGCACACTCTACCTAGCAGGAGGAGGGCACTCTCTACCTAGCAGGAGGAAGGCACTCTACCTAGCAGGAGGAGGGCACACTCAACCAGGGTTTAACTCAACATCATGGCATCATTCACAGGCACTAACCTGCCTTGGAGGAGACAGCGCTAGGTCTCAGGGGAGTAGCCTATCGTAGACACCACACCAAAATACCTTACGCTGTCACAGGAATGGCCAACTCTTGAAATTCCTTTTGTCCCTACCGATGTAGGTAAAACAGCCTTTAGTTTTTATGCGCCGCATACTTGTAGTATATTTCTGAATATCCTACGCTTGGACGCACTAGTGCCTTTCGGGTATTTTAGGGTATTGGTGAATCTTCTCAGGCGAATGTGTTTTTTTTATCATTAGTATTTTTGTACTGTTGTATTTCTCATGCTCCTGCTTGTATTTGTGTAATTTGTATCACTGCTTCCTCATTATTTATTTATTTTGTATTTGCTGCATTTTTGTGAAAAACAGATTTTGGTCTCAATGGGATTTCCCTGCTTAAATAAAGGTTGAAATAAATAAATGCAAATAAATAAACATCCCATCAACATCTCCCTTCCAACTGCTCATAGCCCATATATAATAAAACATCCCATCACTGTTCTAGCAGTGTTGTCTGATGTCTGAAGGTAGCGGCCAGGCAGTGTGTCTGCCAGGGGAAGATGAGAGAGGTGAGGGTGTACAGAGGTCAGAGAGCGCTAGCTAGCTGTCAGGATGTGGACAGACAGACAGCTGAGGCTGGCCTCCGGCCCCGGGGACACAGCCCTCCACACAGCTCAAGTCTATCTGAACACAGAGTCATGACAAAACTCCACAGGCTACAGGCTGAGATCTGTCTCTAACTCTAAAGCCTTATCACAACACAGGCTGAGATCTGTCTCTACCTCTAAAACCCTGATCACAACACAGGCTGAGATCTGTCTCTACCTCTAAAACCCTGATCACAACACAGGCTGAGATCTGTCTCTACCTCTAAAACCCTGATCACAACACAGGCTGAGATCTGTCTCTACCTCTAAAACCCTGATCACAACACAAGCTGAGATCTGTCTCTACCTCTAAAACCCTGATCACAACACAGGCTGAGATCTGTCTCTACCTCTAAAACCCTGATCACAACACAGGCTGAGATCTGTCTCTACCTCTAAAACCCTGATCACAACACAGGCTGAGATCTGTCTCTACCTCTAAAACCCTGATCACAACACAGGCTGAGGATGAAAAGAGGGAGTAGAAAGTCAATACGATAGCAAAGTTGATCCTGGTTAGGGTACAACCAGCAAGTCTTTTCAGGTGGGGCTTAATCCTCACAAAAATCTCTGCTATTAGAATTTAACAGTGATCATAGTATATTTACCAAGGGTGGGATTAACACCTGGAGCATTACACGAAAGCAAATAACATAATCATTATACGTTGCCAAGTGGTGATGTCAGGAATAGTCCTATATGAACTATCAAACATGTCAATCCAACTTATTGTCGCGGTCATCTGGCAAAGTTTCAAGCTCACAAGGAACTATTTTTATTATCTCCTGTTAGAAAGTCAATGTAATATCAGAAAAAAACGTGTGCGTTATAATTATTCTAGCCAATTGAAATGTGAAAATACAGTGTAGAAGGTCAGATTTGGAACGCTTTAATGAGAAATGTGTTCATGTGAACTCTCAACATCTTTCCTCATTTCCTTTTCCAATACAACCCCTCCCATCTCCAACTTACCAAGCATTGTCCAGTGATGTCATCATATTGTGTGGCATGGCCGTGGCAGTCACAGGGTTCACATACTCCTTTGAACATGGTGCTATTAACCCTGCAATGCCCAGATGAACAAATCTGCAACACAAACAGTCACCAAGGCATATCATTATTAGACAATGAAAATAAGAGTACAGAATCTTGACAGTTTAAAGACACCGATTTGTAGATCAATAAAAAGCTAACGATGTAAAAACAAATTAACTGTCTCTCGACTGCTACAGGGGAAAAACAAAATAAATTAATGAAGATTTTTAGTCAGTGAAATTTGGAGTTTAATTGTCTCGCCTCATAAGTTGTTTACGGTTTGTAATTAGTCTTACAACGACGTAATTAATGCATCAATGTTGCTGAACTAAGTGCTTTGATTTCTGCAGTTGGAAAGAAAATTGTAACATCATTCTGTCTGTTTAGAAATGCATCAGGAATAGTAAGACAAAATTTGAATTTGAAATAATACATCTTCAGTACATTTTTTTATTAATAGCATTAATTGGGGTAAGCAACTTGAGGTAAAACAATGACTGTTTTTATCTGAGTAGGTACACACACTAATCCAAAAGCAAAACATGAGTTTGAATTTCAAGTAGGAGAATGAAGAGTAGAGAAATTTCTTTAGAAACACAAGCTTCACAATAGCATTGAAAATAAATGTGTTTCTATAGAAACACAAGCTTTATCAGTCATTTTGTCAACTCTCCGTAGATACTGTGTTGTTCAATGCTCTCGTGGACACAGATCGGACACAACACACTGTCAGGCCTCGCTCCAAAAATGCTCTCATAAGGCTAAAAACAACAAGACAGAGAATGACAACAATAACAAACATGCCCTGTCTTGCTCTGCACTTTCCCTCTATACTGACTTTGTTGCTACCCTGTCATACCTCTGCAGAGAGGAAGGAAGGAAGGAAGGAAGGAAGGAAGGAAGGAAGGAAGGAAGGAAGGAAGGAAGGAAGGAAGGAAGGAAGGAAGGAAGGAAGGAAGGAAGGAAGGAAGGAAGGAAGGAAGGAAGGAAGGAAGGAAGGAAGGAAGGAAGGAAGGAAGGAAGGAAGGAAGGAAGGAAGGAAGGAAGGAAGGAAGGAAGGAAGGAAGGAAGGAAGGAAGGAAGGAAGGAAGGGCCAATGTAGGAAAAAGGCAAAAACAACACTCACAGTAAATAACAAATGACTTGTTTAGTTAAAGCAATGCCTAAATACATTTACATTACATTTTAGTCATTTAGCAGACGCTCTTACCCAGAGCGACTTACAGTTAGTGAGTGCATACATTTTATTTATTTTTTATTAATTTTTATACTGGCCCCCCGTGGGAATCGAACCCACAACCCTGGCATTGCAAACGCCATGCTCTACCAACTGAGCTACATCCCTGCCGGCCATTCCCTCCCCTACCCTGGACAACCCTGGGCCAATTGTGCGCCGCCCCATGGGTCTCCCGGTTGCGGCCGGCTACGACATACAGGAAGACTTGTTTAGTTAAAGCAATGCCTACATACAGGAAGACTTGTTAAGTTAAAGCAATGCCTACATACAGGAAGACTTGTTTAGTTAAAGCAATGCCTACATACAGGAAGAGCACAATGGTAAGCATAGAACAGCGAGGATGTTTTCCTCAAAGGATAAGGACAGAGACAAAGCACAAGAGAAAAGCATGAAGGACCTAAAAACCAACACATACTATACTGTATAAATAGATAGATATTAGACCCCTGGGCATTGGGTGAAGAGAGTGTAAAACAATCACCAATACACATACTATGAGGATTTACCTCCGCTTTTCCCTTTCTAGAAAGGTTATGCTGTTGGATTTGGGGATGTGAAACCTCAGGCAGCATTTTTCTCAGTTCTCTGGGCGTTTAATGGTTTTGCTGAGGGAGAAAGGATTAGTACTGAGCCGGGAGCCCTGCACACTTCACAGAATGCCACCGCTGTTATTCATTGAGGTCACATCTAGCGCTCCCTCCCTCTCCTTCGCCTATAAAGACCTGATGATAACCGTACATTCTATTTCATTCCTCCCCCCCCCCACACACACACACTTGCTTGAGTCAGCACAAAATGCCACATGCAGAAATCAATACCCAACGCTTTTTTAAATAGAAAATACAGTTTTTAACCAAGAGTACAGATTGCTGCAATAGCAAAAACTTTTTTGTATTTGTACCTGTACGTCAGCTTCTCTTTACACAAGTCACCTACGCACACACTCGCGTAAGCATGCACACACACACACACACACACAAACCTACAAACCACACACACTTTACAATGAATGAATACTATTTTTTCTTTTTTACTGCCCTGAGGATAACATCAACCACAGAAAACCCCCAGCTGATTTTGCGAAAGAGCAGATGTAGGGTCAGATCAGTGTGGATCAGGACAGAGGAGGTTGCAGTGTGTGTGGTTACCTGTAGATGGCGACCCGCTCATTGCTGTGTGAGGCTTTGATGAGGAGGCTGGTCACATTAATTAGAGCCATCATGAAGTCCTTCATGCTGACAGGCAGGCCTGTCTCCTGATTCTCAAAGTGCTCAGGGTACAGCAGAGTTCTCTTTGTGCTCTCCGTGAAAGGGTACACTGGCAGACCGAACCGACTGTCAATCATTTTTATCCCGCTGCCCTGCAAGAGATGAAAATGTCAGTCTTCTTGCTCAAATATTTTTTATTGAACACACACAAGAATGGTGTATAGGTACCTGGTAGAAAAGACGAGTATGCAATTATTTTTATAAACATAAAAGAGCAGACCGATACAAAAAGACCCAGAGTTATAGGTACAAAATAAATAATACATGTCAGAGTCTTCTCTCTTTTTCCCCCCTCGTTTGAAAGACAGCATCCATGTTGGTGCATGTATTTATTCGCCACATGACAGAATGCAAAGTCTTGGCTCTGGCTGTCAATATTGGCCATAAACGGAGCAGGGCGCCACATATGAATAATACTCTATTCTGAGAAACCATGAATAGCTCAATTGTATAAAGAGTGACATTTCCTAATGTGAAACTTGTCTTTGTCCAGATTGTCCATCGACTCAATAAGTGTGTGAGTTATTATCAATGTATGCATAGTAATTTATGTGTAGGTGTGAGCTGGAAGGAAATAGAGAAATCTGTGTGAAAGCGTGTGAGAGTGTGTGTGTGAGTGAGTGAGTGAGTGAGTGAGTGAGTGAGTGAGTGAGTGAGTGAGTGAGTGAGTGAGTGAGTGAGATGGAAGCATTGCCAGGTAAACTTTAAGGGTAAGGTCGCTGGTGGGAATCATCAGAGAGGATTATCAGATGTTATTCATCCCGCTTGCTTATTTACTGTTCCAGTGGCTGTTGGGAAATTACAATTTATGGGTGCCGGCAACTTTATTTGCACTGAATTAATGGAGTCTACATGCAAAGCAGGGTTTAACTATCAATAAAGACCTGTCATACATCTCGGCTCCTCCCCCATCTCACATAGGACAAGTGCTCTCCTCTCTGCAATATATGAATAAAACCCAGTGACTGAGCTTAGGTGGCTGTCATCTGACACTAATGTGGCTGGCTCCCTCAAACTCATAATTCAAACAGTCATGTACGAACACCAGTATAACAAATACACACTGAAGCTGAAGAGGGATCTCTCTGACCAACCTCCACGGATATCATCCAACAATCAGTAAAAACAGCATATTTTGGATTGAAAAGGGTTGAAATTGTGTTGTTAGAAGAGCATTTGATCATTGATTGAACTAGAGAGCAGGCTCTCTTGCTGGTTGAGAGATCCACTGGATAAACTCATTATTCAGGATAAACTCAAAGGATGTAATCATGATCTGAGTTCTCCAGCTTTTGTAAAGAGGCCAAGAGGACATACATATCAATGTCACATCGCATTTGCGTGACTGTGTCCGTGACTGTGTGTGTGTGTGTGTGTGTGTGTGTGTGTGTGTGTCAGTGACTGTGTGTGTGTGTCCATGAATGTGTGTGTGTCTGGGCATGCATGTGTGTGTGCGTGTGTATGAATCCCTTCATTCAGAGCACAGTGTTGAGGGAGAAAACCTCAACACATTCCTCATGGATCACACACACACAAATAAAAGACAGCAAATGAATCCTCTCATGGCACACGGCTGACTGAAGATGAAAATGATGACAGATGAACCGCTGGTCCACGATAGAGAGTTAATAAAAGGACACCTTGCTAGCGTAATAGCCCAAGACGACGGCGAGAACGGACGATAGAGAAAAAGTGTGTGTTGCGCATCACTCCCAAGGTCACCGCCGGTCATCTACTCCATGTTAGGAATGATTAAACAACTCTATAATAAATCCTTTAATTGATTCGCACACCGCTTCGGCAAAGTTGTGTGAGCGACAATAGAACAATAGAACAGCTGACTTCAAAGCGGGGCCTTTTATTGACCGTTTCACGACTGAGGAGTAGATAATGAAGCAGGCCTTTATTCAGAGCAGCGTGCGATTGGGACCCCATACCTATATTAATCAAACGAAACAAATCATTTTTACGTGACAATCGGATAGGCCTCAGAGAGCCTTTGCTGTGAGATATACTATATATACCCAAAAGTATGTGGACAACCCTTCAAATTAGTGGATTCTGCTATTTCAGCCACACCCGTTGCTGACAGGTGTATAAAATTGAGTGCACAGCCATGCAATCTCCATAGATAAACATTGGCAGTAGAATGGCCTTACTGAAGAGCTCAGTGACTTTCAACGTGACACCGTCATAGGATGCTACCTTTCCAACAAGTCAGTTCATCAAATTTCTGGCCTGCTAGAGCTGCCCCGGTCAACTGTTAGTGCTGTTATTGTGAAGTGGAAACGTCTAGGAGCAACAACGACTTAGCCGTGAAGTGGTAGGCCATACAAGCACACAGAACGGGACCGCCGAGCGCTGACGCGCGTAGTGCGTAAAAATCGTCTGTAACACTCACTACCGAGTTCCAAACTGCACAATAACTGTTCGTCGGGAGCTTCATTTAATGGGTTTCCATGGCCGAACAGCCGCACACAAGCCTAAGATCACCATGTGCAATGCCAAGCGTTGGCTGGAGTGGTGTAAAGCTCGCCGCCATTGGACTCTGGAGCAGTGGAAACACATTCTCTGTAGTGATGAATCACGCTTCACCATCTGGCAGTCCGACGAACAAATCTGGGTTTGGCGGATGCTACCTGCCCCAATGCATAGTGCCAACTGTAAAGTTTGGGGGAGGAGGAATAATGGTCCCTTAGTTCCAGTGAAAGGAAATCTTAACGCTACAGCATACAATGACAATCTAGACGATTCTGTGCTTCCAACTTTGTGGAAACAGTTTAGGGAAGGCCCTTTCCTGTTTCAGCATGACAATGCACCCATGCACAAAGCGAGGTCCATATAGAAATGGTTTCTTGAGATCGGTGTAGAAGAACTTGACTGGCCTGCACAGAGCCCTGACCTCAACCCCATCGAACACCTTTGGGATGAATTGGAACGCCGACTGCAAGCCAAGCCTAATCGCCCAACATCAGTGCCCGACCTCACTAATGCTCGTGGCTGAATGGAAGCAAGTCCCAGCAGCAACGTTCCAATATCTAGTGGAAAGCCTTCCCAGAAGAGTGGAGGCTGTTATAGCAGCAAAGGGTGGAACAACCCCCTATTAATGCCCATGATTTTGGAACGAGATGTACTTTGGTAATGTAGTGTATCTTCTGAGTGCTGCACAAACTAATGCAGAGGCATGGTTTAGTATAGAGTTAGACCAACTGAATAGATACAAACTTCTCTGGGGACTACTCTATGTTCATGTTAATGAACAGTGTTTGTTATATGGTCCTCTGTAGCTCAGCTGGTAGAGCACGGCGCTTGTAACGCCAAGGTAGTGGGTTCGATCCCCGGGACCACCCATACACAAAAAAAAATTATGCACGCATGACTGTAAGTCGCTTTGGATAAAAGCGTCTGCTAAATGGCATATTATTATTATTATTTATATATTATTATATGGTTATAATATAAAAATATATACATTTCAGCCATTGCTGTCATGTTGGATGATACAGCTTTGTCAACAGAGCACTTGTAAAAAGCATTAAAGTCTACTCTGAGAAACAACCTCCATGCTTAATTTGATGAAGGATCCTCACTTCGAAGAACTCATTCTTGTCTTATTCGCAAGCTTGTATCGATTTCGGTAGACAACTCTGTAGATATCCAAACATGAATTTTGTCTCGCATTATTCCACACTAGCCTTCTTCTCTGAGTAACCTCTTCATTGAAGTTACCCTGTGTGAGAAAGATAGAGCACTGCCATGGGGACCAGCAGGAATTTGTAAGAAAACTGCATATGGGACACAAAAGACTGCAGCACTACCAAGCTGAGCTCATTTTTGGACGATCAGCTAATGACAGCCAGATGCTGTCTAATACCTAGGAGCACACACAGACACAGAGATGTGCACACACACACCAACACGCATGCACACGCGCGCGCGCGCACACACACACAACACATAGTTTTGCACCAAACCTTTTTTAAAATGAAAACAGACATATCATTCAGACATGTCTGGCGTGAAATTCAACAAAAGATAAAAGGATCTTTAGAACTGCAGAGGGACATGTCACATGATCAGTCTGGGCCAATCAGGTTGAACATGACTTTGACCAACATTCTCTATGTTAGCACTTGCTCTATGAATGAGTTCTTGTTGGCACCTAACCTAAAGTACACTGAACAAAAATATAAACGCAACATGTAAAGTGTTGGTCCCATGTTTCATGTGCTGAAATAAAATATCTCAGAAATGTTCCATACGCACAAAAAGCTTATTTCTCTCAAATGTTGTGCACAAATTTGTTTTACATCCCTGTTAAAAAAGCATATCTCCTTTGCCAAGACAATCCATCCACCTGACAGGAGTGGCATATCAAGAAGCTGATTAAACAGCATGATCATTACACAGGTGAACCTTGTGCTGGGGACAATAAAAAAAATAAAAGGCCACTCTAAATGAACAGTTTTGTCACACAACACAATGCCCCAGATGTCTCAAGCAATTGGCAAGCTGACTGCAGGAATGTCCACCAGTGATGTTGCCAGAGAATGTAATGATCATTTCTCTACCATAAGCAGCCTCCAACGTCGTTTTAGAGAATATGGCAGTACGTCCAACCGGCCTCACAACCGCAGACCACGTGTAACCATGCCAGCCCAGGACCTCCACATCCGGCATCTTCACCTGTGGGATCGTCTGAGACCAGCCACCCGGACAGCTGATGAAACTGTGGGTTTGCACAACCAAGAATTTCTGCACAAACTGTCAGAAACCATCTCAGGGAAGTTCATCTACGTGAATCCCGGTTTCAACTGTACCGGGCAGATGGCAGACAGCGTGTATGGTGTCGTATGGGTGAGCGGTTTGCTGATGTCAAAGTTGTGAACAGAGTGCCCCATGGTGGCGGTGGGGTTATGGTATGGGCAGGCATAAGCTACTGACAATTAACACAATTGCATTTTATCGATGGCAATTTGAATGCACAGAGATACCGTGACGAGATCCTGAGGCCCATTGTTGTGCCATTCATCCACTGCCATCACCTCATGTTTCAGCATGATAATGCACGGCCCCATGGATCTGTCCTGGAAGCTGAAAATGTCCCAGTTCTTCCATGGCCTTGTCGTGACGTGACTTTTAACATTAATCTGAAGACTGTTATTTCTCAAATTAAATTAATCATGTAAAAATTTACTCATTAGGATTTGGGGCACCACGAGAGCGGTTGTTTAAAGAGTTACCATCTCCCGAATTAAACTCTAGAAGGTCTATACCTATCACATCGATAAACAGTCAACTTGTTAATCATAACCTTGTATCATGTACTTATTCTGAACATTGTAACCTCCTTGCATCTGCAAAAACCCGAGCCTTCCTTATGATTCAGTACTACACAAATTGGTTTAATTATTTATTTATTTACTAGCTAACTAAATGGAAATGCAGGATAACATACACACTTAATACATTAAAAACAAGTCCCTAGCGGACTGACAACATCACTGCTTGTTACAAAAAACATGGAGAGGTAGAGAGACAGGGACAGAGACACTGTGATGGGTGATTTGAAGGAGTCAGGTGCAGGAGGGTAAATCACAGAATAACAGGATTTATTCCGGAATACAGAGTTAAGCAGCAATGCGTCAAAACAGTCCATTGCGCAAAACAGGCACACTGGAACAAACAAGGCACACAGGGAAAAGAACCCGGCAATATAAAATACAAGGAGCTCAACCGAGCTTCACTCTCCACACAATAAACAATCACACACAAAGACAAGGGGGCAGAGGGAACACTTAAATAGGTACTGATGAGGGGATATGAACCAGATGTGTGTAATAAACAAGACAAAACAAATGGAATGATGAGATGAGGAGCGGCAGTGGCTAGAAGGCCGGTGACGATGAATGCCGAAGCCTGCCCGAACCAGGAGAGGAGGCAGCTTCGGAGGAAGTCGTGAAAGTACCCCCCCCCCCCCCCCTCCCCCCCTTGACGTGCAGCTCCAGCAGCGCGCCTAAACCGGCCTCGGGGACGGCCAGGAGGACGCGGAGCAGGGCGAGCCGGATGGCAACGGTGGAAATCCCGCAACAGGGAGGAGGGATCGAGGATATCCCTCAACGGGACCCAGCACCATTCCTCCGGACCGTACCCCTCCCACTCCACGAGGTACTGAAGGCCTCCCACCCGACGCCTCGAATCCAGGATGGAACGGACGGAGTACGCCGGGGCCCCCTCGATGTCCAGAGGAGGCGGAGCGACCTCCCACACCTCAGACTCCTGGAGCGGACCAGCCACCACCTGCCTGAGGAGAGACACATAGAACGAGGGGTTAATACGATAATCCGGCGGGAGTAATAACCTATAGGTAACCTCGTTTATTCTCCTCAGGACTTTGAATGGCCCCACAAACTGCGGGCTCAGCTTCCGGCAGGGCAGGCGGAGGGGCAGATTCCTGGTCGAGAGCCAGACCTGATCACCTGGTACAAAGACCGGGGCCTCACTGCGGAGGCAGTCAGCATTGGCCTTCTGACGACACACGGCGTGTTGGAGGTGGACGTGAGCAGCATTCCATGTCTCCTCCGCGCCACCGAAACCAGTCATCCACCGCAGGAGCCTCGGTCTGGCTCTGATGCCATGGTGCCAGAACCGGTTGATAACCTAAAACACATTGGAATGACATTAGGTAGCGGAGGAGTGACGGAGAGAGTTCTGGGCATATTCAGCCCATGGCAAGAGCACTGACCACTCCCCCGGCCGGTCCTGGCAGTAGGACCGCAGGAACCTACCCACTTCCTGATTCACACGTTCCACCTGCCCATTAGACTCGGGGTGAAAACCAGAGGTCAGGCTGACCGAGACCCCCAGACATTCCATGAATGACTTCCAGACCTTGGATGTGAACTGGGGACCCCGGTCAGACACTATGTCCTCTGGTACCCCGTAGTGCCGGAAGAAGTGTGTAAACAGGGCCTACACAGTCTGCAGGGCCGTGGGGAGACCGGGCAGAGAAAGGAGGATGCAGGCTTTGGAAAAGCGGTCCACAACGACCAGGATGGTGGTGTTACCTTGAGAGAGGGGAAGATTAGGAAGGAAATCAATACTCAAGTGGGACCATTGCCGTTGTGGAACTTGTAAAGGCTGTAACTTACCCGCTGGGAGGTGCCTAGGTGCCTTACTCATGGCGCACACCGAGCAGGAGGAGACATACACCCTCACGTCCTTAGCCAAGGTAGGCCACCAGTACTTTCCGGTCAGGCAGCGCACTGTACGAGCAATACCTGGGTGACCAGAGGAGGGGGACATGTGTGCCCAATAGATCAGACGGTCACAGAGAAGAGCAGGCATGTACTGCAGCCCAGCTGGACACTGAGGTGGAGATGGCTCTGTGCGTAATGCCTGCTCCATATCCGCGTTCATCGCCCATACTACCGGCGCCACAATAAAGGAGGCCGGGAGTATGGGGGTGTTGTCTCTGGGCCTCTCCTGTGTCGTACAGCCGTGACAGTGCGTCTGCCTTTACGTTCTTTGCACCCGGGATGTATGATAGTGTAAAATCAAACCGGGTGAAGAATAGGGCCCACCTGGCCTGGCGAGGATTCAGCCTCCTCGCTGCCCGGATGTACTCCAGGTTACGGTGGTCCGTCCAGATGAGGAAAGGGTGTTTCGCCCCTTCGAGCTAGTGCCTCCACACGGTCAGGGCTCGGACAACAGCCAACAGCTCCCGATCACCAATGTCGTAGTTCTGCTCTGCCGGGCTGAGATTCTTGGAGAAGAAGGCACAGGGGCGGAGCTTGGGTGACATGCCCGAGCGTTGAGATAGGACCGCGCCTATCCCTACCTCGGACGCATCCACCTCCAGTACGAATGGTAGTGATGGATTGGGGTGGGCCAGTACCGGGGCTGAGGTGAACAGACCCCTCAGGTTACTGAAGGCCCTGTCAGCCTCAGCAGACCAGCGGAGCCGGGCCGGCCCACCCTTCAACAGAGATGTGATGGGCGCTGCGACCTTGCCAATGTGACGAGTACTGAGTATACGAAGAGGCAGGACGCAGACGCAGGAATTAACAAGGTCAAGATTTACTTAAACAATTACAAAGAGAAATAACAACACGACACGAAGCTAAACAATCACACACAACATATTACAGAACAGTCCAGGGCTAAATAGGGGTGGTGATGAGATGATGAGGTGCAGGTGCGCTGGAGGTGATTAGGGTGCATTGGGTTTCCATTCCGGTGTTGCCGAGGTGGTGCGCTCAGACCGGTGGCTCAGTAGACCGGAGAATCAGAGTGCCGGAGGGGAACAACGGGAGGAGACGTGACAGTACCCCCCCCCCTCCGGAGGCGCGGCTCCAGCTCCCGAATTAGGTTGGGGTCCAGAACGTCCCCAGCCGGAACCCAGCTCCTCTCCTCAGGACCACACCCCTCCCAGTCCATCAGGTAATGTATCCGTCCCCCACGGAACCTGGAGTCCAGCAGATCCCTCACTGCATACGCCGGACTCCCGTCAATGTCCAGGGGCGGAGGAGGCGTACCCCGGGGGACGGCATCCGCCAGAGGACCAGGAACCACCGGCCTGAGGAGAGACACATGAAAAGTGGATGAGACACGGTAGTGAGGGGGAAGGAGCAGCTGGTATGATACCTCATTTATCCGCCGGAGGACCTTAAACGGCCCCACAAAACGGGAGCTCAGTTTCTTGCAGGGCAGATGGAGAGGGAGGTTTTTGGTGGACAGCCAGACGCGATCCCCAGGCTGGAATACAGGGGCCTCACTGGGTGGCGGTCGGCTTGGTCCTTCTGCCGACGAATGGCCCTCTAGAGATGGACATGGGCTGCGTCCCAGACCTGTCCGGCCCTGTGGACCCTCTCGTCGACAGCGGGCGCATCGGTCTGGCAGGGTGTCCAAGGGTCCAGGGCCGGCTGGTACCCCAGGACGCACTGAAAGGGAGTGAGCCCCGTGGAGGAGTGAATTCTGGGCATTTTCTGCCAGGAAAGAAACCTTGCCCACTCACCTTTCCGGTCCTGACAGTGGAAATGAAGAAACCTCCCCAGCTCCTGGTTCATGCGCTCCACCTGCCCATTTGACTGAGGCCTATACCTGGAAGTGAGGCTGGCCATGGCCCCGATCTTCTCCAGGAAAGCCTTCCACACTCGGGAGGTGAATTGGGGGCCATGGTCCGAGACGATGTCCTCCGGAAGTCCATAATTCCGGAAGACCTGTTGGAACAGGACCTCAGCGACCTGGAGAGCAGAAGGAAGACCAGTTAGTGGCAAAAAACGGCATGATTTGGAGAACCGATCTACGACCACCATGACTGTGGTGAAGCCGTCAGAACGTGGAAGATCGGTGACAAAGTCTATGGACAGGTGTGACCAAGGTCGCTGAGGCACTGTGAGAGGCACTAGTTTGCCTGCCGGGGTGTTCCGAGGTGTCTTCGTTTGGGCACATACGGAACAGGAGTTGACATAGCGGGAGACATCAGAAGCCAAGGTGTGCCACCAGTATTTTGGGGCTAGAGAATGCAGGGTGCGCGTAATACCAGAGTTCCCTGCCGTAAGGGTAGTGTGCATCCAGATCAGCAGGCGGTCACGGACACTGGTGGGTACATACATGCGCCCCGGAGGGGCGTTGGCAGGCGCTGGGTCCTCCTGAGCCGCCAGGCAGATGTCTTCATTCACATTCCAAACGACAGGTGCAATGATGAGAGACGAGGGCAGGATAGGACCCCCCAGATCCTTCCTTTCTCCGGTATGGTGCATCCTGGAGAGTGCGTCGGCCTTCACATTCTGGGATCCTGGTCGGTAGGACAGAATAATTTGGAAGCGAGTGAGAAAAATGGGCCCACCTGGCTTGACGAGAGTTCATCCGTTTCACTGCCCATATGTGCTCCAAATTCCTGTGGTCAGTAAGAATCCGGAATGGATGGACTGCGCCCTCCAGCCAGTGTCTCCATTCCTCCAGAGCAAGGACCAACGCCAACAGCTCCCTGTCTCCAACTCCATAGTTCCTCTCTGCAGGGGTAAGCTTTTTAGAGAAAAAGGCACAGGGATACGTTTTCTCTGCCTTACCGTGCCGATGGGAGAGGACCGCACCCACGCCCTCCTCCGATGCGTCCAACTCCAGGATGAAAGGACGAGATGGATCTGGTTGTTTTAGGATGGGCGCTGTGGTGAACCTCTCCTTCAGCCTCTTGAAGGCAGCGTCAGCCTCAGGGTTCCAGGCCAGCTTCTGAGGCCCACCCTTAAGGAGAGAGCTGAGTGGGGCGTCTATGGAGCTGAAGGACCTGATGAAACGCCGGTAGAAATTAGCGAAGCCCAGGAAGCTCTGTAGGCCCTTGATGGTGGTGGGAACTGGCCATCACCTGACGGCGTCCGTCTTCACTCTTTCCATGAACACCCCCTGAGGACTGATCCGGTATTCCAGGAAGGAGATGGCCTGTTGGTGGAATTCGCATTTTTCCCCTTCACCAACAGACTGTGTTCCCGGAGGCGGAGTAGGACAGCTCGGACGTCCCTGACGTGCTCCTCGAACGTAGCCGAGTAGATCAGGATATCGTCGATGTACACCACCACCTGTCTACTCAGCATGTCCCGGAACACATCATTGACGAAGGACTGGAACACAGAAGGAGCGTTGGCGAGGCCGTAGGGCATGACGCAGTATTCATAGTGGCCTGAGGTAGTGCTGAATGCCGTCTTCCACTCATCTCCTTCCCAGATTCGGATCAGGTTGTAGGCACTCCTCAGGTCCAACTTGGTAAAGTACCGGGCCCTTCGTATCTGCTCGATGGCCGACGGAACCAGACGGAGGGGGTACCAGTACTTGGTGGTGACTGCGTTCAGCCCCCTGTAGTCAATGCATGGTCTCAGTCCTCCGTCCTTTTTGGCCATGAAGTAGAAGCTGGCGGAGGCAGGAGAGGTAGAGCGTCTGATGAACCCCTGTTTCAGGGTCTCCACCACATACTTCTCCATGGCCTCAGTCTCCGGCATGGAAAGGGGGTAAATGCGACTCTTCGGGGGGTGTTGTCCCTCCAGCAGGTCAATGGCGCAGTCCCAGGGCCTGTGAGGAGGGAGACACGTAGCCTTTACTGAAGAGAAGACATCGGAGAGATCTGCATACTCACGTGGAATGTTGGGCTGGAGGGCGGACTCCGGACTCTCCACTGACGTGGAACAACAAACCACCGGCAGGCAGGTCTTCCGGCATGAGGCAGACCAGGCTGTGATCCTCTTGGTGCTCCAATTGATGGTGGGGTTGTGTAGTCTGAGCCAGGGCAATCCCAAGACGATCCGGGGAAGGGGTGACGTGATGATGTGGAATGACAGCTCCTCGTGGTGCGGGAATGGTGATGGTGATGGGGAGAGTGACGTGCGGAATAGTGCCTGATCCAAGGGGTTTATTGTCCAATGTGTTGACGTGTAGCGGAGATGGCAGTGGCACGGTGGGCAACCACCATTCAGAGACCAGCTCCCTATCTACAATGTTTCCCCGCTGATCCGGAATCTATCATAGCAGTAGAAATGGAAGAGAAGGAATAACCAGACACCGTTATGGGGACTAAAAACAATGGTTTTGTGATAGGAGCTGACATAACACTCACGGAGCGGCGACGGGAGTCATACCGCCAAGATAGGGAGCCGCCAGGAGATCTGTGGTCCGTGGTGGTGTAGGGGGTGCTGCCTACCTCCATTGGTGAGGACTCGGAAGCAGGGCTGCTTCCATAGCTCAGATGGGGTGAGCGTCGAGGCTCTGGGAGGTGTTGGGAACGCCGTCTCTCTCTCAACATGTCGTCAAGACGGATGGACGTGGTGATGAGAGTATCAAGGTCCATCTTGTCGTCCCGACATGCGAGTTCCGTCTTGATGTCCTCCCGTAAGCCTTTCCTGAAGGCCGTGCGCAGAGCACGCTCATTCCAGCCGGATGACGCTGCCACCGTGCGAAAGCTCAGAGCGTACTCAGACGCGGGCCCCTCTCTCTGTTGTAGATGGAGGAGACGCTCACCCCCGTCCTTTCCCTCCGTGGAATGATCAAACACCGCCCTGAACCGAGAGAGGAAGGTGGCGTAGGGTAGTGCCACTGCCTCCTCTCCTTCCCAGACTGCCATGGCCCAATCCAGCACCTTTCCTTTAAGTAGAGAAATCACCAGCACTATCCTGGCTTGGTCAGATGGATATGCCCCAGGCTGACGCGCCAGATAAAGTGAAATCTGTAGCAGGAAGCCGCTATATTTAATAGTTTTACCGTCATAGCACTCCGGTAGGGCGAGGGTTCCCACAGAAGTAGGTGATAGCCCGGGAATAGGTGGATTGGGGGCACTCGCCGCTCCCTGACGTGGAACCGGAGCACTGGGCAGATTATGCAGAGTTTGGAGCACTTCCTGCATGGCGGCGTTCAACTGGGCAAGCTGCTGCTGGTGCTGGTCGAGGCACTGGGAAACTCCTGCTGCATCCATTTTCATTTGGTGTGTGATTCTGTGACGAGTACTGAGTATACGAAGAGGCAGGACGCAGACGCAGGAATTAACAAGGTCAAGGTTTACTTAAACAATGACAAAGAGAAATAACAAAGATAGAGTACACGACACGAAGCTAAACAATCACACACAACATATTACAGAACAGTCCAGGGCTAAATAGAGGTGGTGATGAGATGATGAGGTGCAGGTGCGCTGGAGGTGATTAGGGTGCGTTGGGTTTCCATTCCGGTGTTGCCGAGGTGGTGCGCTCAGACTGGTGGCTCAGTAGACTGGCGAATCAGAGCGCCGGAGGGGAGCAACGGGAGGAGACCTGACAGCCAAAGCCACAGATAAACCTCCGATAGTAGTTGGCAAAGCTAATAATGTGCTGCACCTCCTTTACCGTGGTTGGAGTCGGCCAATTACGCACGGCTGAAATGCAATCTCCCTCCATCTCCACACCTGAGGTGGTAATGTGGTTTCCGAGGAAGGAGACGGACTGTTGGAAAAACAGACACTTTTCTGCCTTGGCATAGAGGTAATGTTCCAACAGTCGGGCCAGCACTTTGCGAACCAGGGACACATGCTCGGCGCGCGTAGCGGAATACACCAGAATGTCATTGATGTAGACCACTACACCGTGACCAAGCATGTCCCGAAACACCTCGTTCACAAAGGAATGGAAGACGGATGGAGCATTCATCAAACCATAAGGCACCACCAGGTATTCGTAATGCCCCGTGGTTGTGCTGAATGCTGTCTTCCACTCGTCCCCCTCTCGGACACGCACCAGGTTGTACACACTCCGGAGATCTAATTTTGTGAAGAAGCACGCCCCATACATTGACTCGATCACAGATGGAATGAGGGGTAGAGTATAACTAAATCGTATCGTCCCCTTGTTCAGTGATCGGTAATCAAAGCAAGGGCGCAGACCTCCGTCTTTCTTATTCACAAAAAAGAAACTCGAGGAGGCGGGAGAAGTGGAGGGACCTATAAACCCCAGGCGCAGGGACTCTGAGACTTATGTCTCTATTTTGTATACATCTGGCCCTTCATTGGACACTGTGTTAACAAACCTCCAAACGAGCTTTAATGCCATACAACACTCCTTCCGGGGCCTCCAACTGCTCTTAAACGCTAGTAAAACTAAATGCATGCTCTTCAATCGAACGCTGCTTACACCCGCCTGCCCGACTAGAATCACTACTCTCGGCGGGTCTGACTTAGAATATGTGGACACCTACAAATACCTAGGTGTCTGGTTAGACTGTAAACTCTCCTTCCAGACTCACATTAAGCATCTCCAATCCAAAGTTAAATCGAGAATCGGCTTCCTATTGCGCAACAAAGCCTATCTATAAATCACTTCTAGGCAAATCCCCGCCTTATCTTAGCTCATTGGTCACCATAGCAACACACACCCGTAGTATGCGTTCCAGCAGGAATATCTCACTGGTCATCCCCAAAGCCAACACCTCCTTTGGTCGCCATTCCTTCCAGTTCTCTGCTGCAAATGACTGGAACGAACTGCATAAATCTCTGAAGCTGGAGACACTTATCTCCCTCACTAACTTTAAGCATCAGTTGTCAGAGCAGATAACCGATCACTGCACCTGTACACAGCCCATCTGTAATTAGCCCACCCAACTACCTCATCCCCATATTGTTATTTACATTGTTATTTATTTTGCTCATTTGCACCCCAGTATCTCTATTTGCACATCATCTTCTGCACATCTATCACTCCAGTGTTAATACTAAATTATAATTGTAATTATTTTGCACTATGGCCTATTTATTGCCTTACCTCCATAACTTACTACATTTGCACACACTGTATATAGATTTTATATTGTGTTATTGACTGTACGTTTTGTTTATTCCATATGTAACTCTGTGTTGTTGTTTTTTTTACCGCACTGCTTTGCTTTATCTTGGCCAGGTCGCAGTTGCAAATGAGAACTTGTTCTCAACTGGCTTACCTGGTTAAATAAAGGTTAAATACAAAATAAAAATAGCCTCTGTTTCAGCCTGTTACAGGGGATACACATGACTCCTGGGAGGCACAGCATCTACCCGGAGGTTTATCGCGCAATCCCCCGCCCGATGAGTTGGTCATTTAATCGCCTGCGATTTGGAAATCGCGTGCGCCAAATCAAGGTATTCGGGGGGAATGCACACGGTGGAGGTACTGTCTGGACTTTCCACCATGGTTGCATCAACGGAAAAACCTAAACACCTACCCTGACACTCTCGCGACCACCCCGTGAGAACCCTCTGCGGCCATGAAAAGGTGGGGTTGTGGAGCGCTAACCAGGGAAGACCTAACACAACAGGGAAATCAGGACACTCAATAATAATAAAAAAGTGACTTTCTCTCGATGAGTCATGTGTGTAACCATAGTGACTGGTGCTGTAACCTCCCTAAGAACCCTGACCCTAATGGTCGACTGTCAAGTGCTCTGATGGTGAGTGGAATGGATTGGGGAACCAATGTAATGCCTAGACTATGTGAAAATGACCTGTCCATAAAGTTCCCAGCTGCGCCTAAATTGACCAGTGCCTTACACTGGGGAACTACAATGTAATAAGGAAAGTGGATGGGTAGGGTACAGTGCGAAGCAGAGGGCTCTGAACGAGTGCCCTGCCTGCCGCCTCCAGACCCAAAAGAACGATGAGGGCCCGCTCGTTCCACCCGGACCCAGCTGCTAGAGTTCGAAACTCCAGGGCGAAGTCCTGCGCGGTCCTCGTCCCCTGCCTCAGGTGGACCAGCCGCTCACCCGCCTCTCTACCCTCGGGCGGGTGATCGAAGACAGCCCGACAGAGGCGAGCAAACTCACTGTAGTTGTCCAACGCAGCTCCACCTTCATTCCAGACCGCGTTGGCCCATTCCAGGGCTTTCCCCGAGAGGCAGGAGACGAGGGCGGACACCTTCTACCGCTTCGATGGGGCCGGGCTGATGCTTGAATAGTAAAGCTCCATTTGGAGGAGGAAACCCTGGCAGAGAGCAGCTGTCCCGTCGAAATCCCGTGGTCGGGATATATGGCTCCCTCTGGGTGCTGGGGTGTGGGTGGCTGGATCCGGTCACCCAGCTGGTCCCGACAGACCGGGTCCTCTCCTCTCCAGGCATTGGACGACCTGGAGAACCCGATCCATTGCTTCTCCCAAGCTGGCTAGCATTATCGGATGCTCCCAGACCCGTGCCACGACTCCAGGCATGTGCTCCTCTCCTGCTGACTCCATGTGTGATTCTGTGATGGGTGATTTGAAGGAGTCAGGCGCAGGAGGGTAAATCACAGAATAACAGGATTTATTCCGGAATACAGAGTTACTCAGTAATGCGTCAAAACAGTCCATTGCGCAAAACAGGCGCACTGGAACTAACAATGCACACAGGGAAAGAACCCGGCAATACAAAATACAAGGAGCTCAACCGAGCTTCACTCTCCACACAATAACAATCACACACAAAGACAAGGGGGCAGAGGGAACACTTATACAGGTACTGATGAGGGGATATGAACCAGGTGTGTGTAATAAACAAGACAAAACAAATGGAATGATGAGATGAGGAGCGGCAGTGGCTAGGAGGCCGGTGACGACGAACGCCGAAGCCTGCCCGAACCAGGAGAGGAGGCAGCTTCGGAGGAAGTCGTGACAGACACTTAACGTTGGTACATTTAGAAACTACTCTCACTTATAGTTCTCCTATACTTTGCACACAAACCGCCGCCCGCTTGGAGTAAGAAATCATGAATGTATTTACGTGAGGTACCGCCGTGTAGCTCTTGGAACTGGGCCACCCTGGAAAGAGAGTTGGTCCTTCTTGCGGCTCGCTCGTAAGGCTCTAATTGTCCGAAAGAGCTACAACAAGTCTTATACTGTTGTTCTCCTCTGTAGTTGTCCGATGTCCTGTGACTTGTCATGTAGTCCTGAACAGAACTACAGAATGGATTTTCCTTCCACTCGTTCTGGTTTATGTTTCGATGGTTCCCCAGTGGGGTGATGACAATAGCATAGTAGGATAGCATAATAGCATAGCTTGAATAGAGTAGTAGAATGGTCCCACTTAACTTCACTTTCCAAGATATTGTACTTAGGACAGCTAATCAGCTGTACCAGTGATTATCCGGGAGGGGAGTTTTCTTCTCCACCTCGTTTTGCAATTCAGAGTTCAAACCACTTTAAACGCGCAGCTGTAGCTAGGCGTCTTTCTGGTCTAAATGTTAATGTCTTTACCAATCCTTTTATGTACTTTGGTCGAAAGGGCCGGTTCCGTCAGGCTGACACACTCTCTGACCTCACTCGGAGCGTGGCTACTTACTGTGCAAAGTTTTATGTAAAACCATTATCTGCTAAAATCACATCCCTATTTTAACAAAAATACATTTTTCATATTTCATGCACAACGCATCGGATGGAAACTTCGTACATGCAGTGGGTATACTTAATAAGTTACAGTATTTCCTTTATAACATTTTTAATGACAGCACAAAATAACCAACCAAACGACATTAGTTTTCTTTAGATCGCCTCTGACCATTCCCCACGTTCTCTGTTAGGAATATTGTTCCAGTATTCGCTTTTGAACGTGTTAAAGTTTCAGCGGGAAAAGGTCTCTGGAACAAAGCACATTCCTTTGTAAATTTGGAGAGGGAGACCCTGGATCTCCTCACCTTTGACTTACAACAGGGCGTGAAGTGTCAAAACCCCACAGTTCCCTCCTCCCCCTCTCTGTTGGTGAGAGGGGGTCTGGTTGAAGTTATTCATTGCAAACCTGATCTGACCTATTTGGATCCTTTGCATACACACCAGACATGTCACCCATTGAGCATGTTTGAGATGCTCTGGATCGACATGTACGACCGCGTATTCCAGTTCCTGCAAATATCCAGCCACTTCGCACAGCCATTGAAGAGGAGTGGGGCAACATTCCACAGACCACAATAAACAGCCTGATCAACTCTATGCGAAGGAGATGTGTTGTGCTGCTTGAGACAAATGGTTGTCACACCAGATACTGACTGGTTTTCTGATCCACTCCCCTACCTTTTTTTGAAGGTATCTGTGACCAACAGATGCATATATTTCCGTAGATTTCCATAGATTAGGGCCTAATGAATTTATTTCAATTGACTGATTTCCTTATATGAACTGTAAGTCAGTAAAATCTTTGAAATTGTTGCATGTTGCGTTTATATTTTTGTTCAGTGTAGTTGTATGTCCATGCTAATGAGGCTATATACACTTACCCCTGTGATGACATTAGGAGCAGAGTTAACCCTGATATCCTGGTCTTTTTCCCCTTCATCATATGAAACTGTATAGACCAGACTTCCTCCATAGGCGGAGAGCTGTAAACAAACATAAGTCAACAATTTAAATAACCTGCCAAATGATACATTACAATATGCTAACTTGCACTGCATAGAATAAAAACGGTTACCACCATCAAAGGCACTTTTACAATGTAATAGCATGTAAAGACAAGGACTGAGATTAGACCTACACGTATAGTGAGGGTTATAGGAGTTATTGTATTAGTAAGCCGGGATATAAAGTTGAAAATGATCAAGAGTCCCCTTTAAATCCCAGTGGAGTATGAAATGACCCAACACCACCAACAAATCTCCACACCTCTTTGGTGACATTACGAGCGGTGTGTAATGAGCGTTAAGGGACAGGTTTTATAGTGGCACACTTCCATGCCTGGGAGTAATACTGAAAAGGCTGTACTAGCCAGATGCATTACAAACAGGTTTTAAACAAAGATCCTTAAAGATGGACACAGTTTTACAGGCACTGGGCTCTTGAAGATTAGGATGTCTAGTTTTCCACAACTAGGACTGTGTGATTGTTCGAATGATGACTGTATTCCCAAAATGTCTGTCTGGTACAGTTGAGCACACATTCTCAGATCTAGGACAGCCTATCCTCCACCGCCTCCTTTGGATTTGTCGATCTGTCTTTTTTTCTCTCTCTATGATTCCTCTGCCCTCATCCAGCTCCCCAAACAAAGCAGACGTGTGTTGTGTTTTTCCTGCTAGAAAGGGGCCCTCTCATCTTGGTGCTATTGAGCTGCTCTATCTCCTGGCCCCCTGCTGAGGCTATAACAGGGAGCTCTGGGGGTGCTGCTGTGTTGAATGAAAAGGCCCTGTTATCTGACCATGGAGAACGTTTGACTGGACCTGGAGGGCAAATCACTTCTCACTCATCACTTATCAGAGGGGCCCTGAGTTTTCACTGACCATGTGACCTGCCTGGTCTGTAACAGTTTGTCCAGGTCAGATCATGTGACCTGCCTAGTCTAACAGTTTGTCCAAGTCAGATCATGTGACCTGTCTAGTATGTAACAGTTTGTCCAGGTCAGATCATGTGACCTCCCTAGTCTGTAACAGTTTGCCCAGGTCAGATCATGTGACCTACCTAGGCTGTAACTCTGTCCGTAACAGTTTGTCCAGGTCAGATCATGTGGTCAGGGAAAACTCAGGGCCTTACCAGCGCCATCATTACCCTGGTTAGAAGACCAGCCACAGCAGTGAGCCACATACACCAGAACCAGATCTCTTTTAATGTGTGTTGTCAAACCATTTGTTTTGGCATCGTTGATGTCTATCCATTTATTATTGCGATATGACTCACGCACAGCTATGCAGACAACCAACATAGATTAATAAAAATGTTCCCGTTGTAACCAATTACGGTTCACTGGCTAAATTAATGCGGAGAAGCGTTGAAATACAGCAGTATTTGTTTGTACACAGGAAGCGAGATAAACAAGGGCTAAAGTGAGTCATGTACAGACTGCAGGTCCTAATATAATGTCATGACAACCTCTTAATTAACAGAAATCCAATTCACACTGAGAACACCTCAACCTCTGTTAAACAAAGGGGCTGGTCTATGAAGGTAAAGTGCATTGTGGGTGGGAGGAGCAGGGAAAATCTAACATTTTGTTTAGGAGCAACAACAAGTGTCAGATACACCACTAAGGAGAAAGATCTAATCCTCTTGTTAGTAGCATCAAAAACACTCATATCAGGACACTCACATCAATAAACTATCTATGATCTCTTTGTCCAGGATACAATCATATATCTCACAATCCTACTGGAGCACCATGGCTGATTCTGAACAATCATAAAAACTTGAAATTTGCTACATGAGGACACATTGAGCTACAGGACAAATAAAGAGAGGCCTGTGAAGAGAGGACTCTGTAGTTAGGATCCACATTTATAGATCACAGGGGAGGCCGTGTTAGAACAGAGACAGAAAGCCAGAGCGGCTAACCATCCCACACCAAATATGCCCAGCGAGACAGAGAGAGAGAGAGAGAGTGGCAGAGAGAGCGAGGAGGGGGTGATCAGGGCCCATATTTCAGAAAATAAACAACAGACAATCAAACCATCCACTGGGTTCTTAAAACAACACCGGGAACCCAGAGTGCCTCACATCTGCTCCACCATTACGAGCCCTGGGCCCTGGCTCTGTTGACTTTAATATCCAGGAAGCATCAATGTGTGTTTTCCCACCGGCCACCCACAGGACAGCTACAAAGAGGGGGCTCTGCTCAGAGCCTCTGACTGCCTCCAATATGGAGTCCTGTTTTGTTTGTGCATAGTGGGTGATGGTGCAGGTCCAAAACTAGGGCTTGGAAACACTCACATCTGGGAAACACTTTAATTGGCCCGAATGAGACGGTCCAAAGTTAACACATTTGGGACAAAGGCTATTGCTGCCTCAAAAGCTGTAAGAATTTCCCTGCTTGTTTGTCCATCTGTAACCATGTGTTTGTGTTGCAGTGCTTTATGGAAACATTTCCGCCATGTTTTTGGGAAGTATTTGGGATAAATCAGAAGAACTAGGAAATGTACTAAAACGGTTGGAGTATCATTCAAATAATTGGCAAGAACTGTATAAGCAAACACACAGCATCTGACATTTACATTTTTGTCATTTAGCAGACACTCTTATCCAGAGCAACTTACAGTAGTGAATGCATACATTTTTGTACTGGTCCTCCATGGGAATCAAACCTACAACCCTGGCGTTGCAAGCGCCATGCTCTACCAACTGAGCCATACAGGACTAAGTTGTTTCTAAGCAACCAATATGTTTATAATAGAGCTCTATCAAAACTACAACTGCAATATTTGTATCAACGAAAGAAGATCTACTCCAGTATTCGCTGAATGAGGAGGAAACTTTGGAGGCCTCCTTGTTGCAGTTCATTGGGCATTTAAGTGGCATAGCCTGGGAATGGGGCTGTGTGTGCCCTGCAGCCTCTGCCCCTGCAGTGGGAAGGGAATAGAGGGAATAGAGACATGATCACAGTGTGTTAACCACAGCATGCAGTCTGGAGCTGCAGTCTGGGACAGGCTGGGAGTGGCTGAATATCCTCCTCTCTACTGTCAAGTGGGACAGAGGAGCACAGTGTCTACTCAGAGCTCTGATAGCATCCTATAGGTGGCGCTCTCTCAGTCTCTAGTCTATAGGTCCCCAGAAAAGACTACCTCGTACAGGGGGCCCGGCCCACCAAGGAAACCACACAAACAGTAAATAAATACATTCATGTGGGTAAAACAATCACTGGCACCCACCCATGCATATTCTCCTGGGCGCTCATTCTCTCTGCGCTGGCTGCTCTGTCGGCCTTGTCAATCTGAAGACGAGTGGTAATGGCGCCGTTCCTCACTGGGAGAAAGCGCTGAAGTGTGTACTCAGGCAAGCGCTGCGGAGATGGGTTCATTTATCATCATAATAGTCTATTACCCGTGATAGGACACAACTCAGTGAAGAGGCAGCTGCAGTAATTGGTGCTATTTCTTTCACTTTGCTTGGCCAGGGAAGGAAAGGAGGCAGCCCTCGGCACTGGGGCAATAGTCAATCAACACGTGGAGATTTCTGAAGAGAAAAGTTCATCCGAGATTTGTATGCAGGTTTATGGGTTTTACTGTCTCCTGTAAATCTGTCACCATGTCCCCTGTTAAATTGAGAAGTAGAGTGGGCGTGGTCAGGAAGTACTTAAAGAATTAGGCAACAATTAAGATGCAACTTTCTTTCAGAAAAGTATCCATACTCTTTGATTTATTCCACATTTTGTTGTGTTATGGCCTGAATTCAAAATGGAATACATAGATGTTTTTCTTACCCATCTACACACTATACCTCATAATGACAAAGTATACAGAAATACAGAATTATCTAATTTACAGAAGTATTCAAACCCCTGGGTCAAAACATGTTAGAATCACCTTTGGCAGTGATTACAGCTGTGAGTGTTTCTGGGTAAGTCTTTAAGAGCTTTGCACACCTGGATTGTAGAATATTCTTAAAGCTCTGTCAAGTTGGTTGTTGATCTTTGCTAGACAGCCATTTTCAAGTATTGCCATGGATTTTTAAGCTGACTTAAGTCAAAACAGTAACTAAGCCACTCAGGAACATTCAATGTCATCTTGGTAAGCAACTCCAGTGTATATTTGGTCATGTGTTTTAGGTTATTGTCCTGCTGAAAGGTGAATTTGTCTCCCAGTGTCAGCAGACTGAACCAGGTTTTCCTCTAGGATTTTGCCTGTGCTTAGCTCTGTTCCGTTTCTTTTATCCTAAAAAACTCCCTAGACCTTGCCGATGACAAGCATACCCATAACATGATGCAGCCACCTCCATGCTTGAAAATATGAAGAGTGGTACTCAGTGATGTGTTGTGTTGGATTTTCCCCAAACATAACGCTTTGTATGAAAATGTATGCACTCACTAACTGTATGTCGCTCTGGATAAGAGTGTCTGCTAAATGACTAAAATGTAATGTAAATGTATTCAGGACATAAAGTTAATTTCTTTGCCACATTTTTTACAGTTTTACTTTAGTGCCTTATTGCAAACAGGTTGCATGTTTTGGAATATTTTTATTCTGTACAGGCTTCCATCTTTTCACTGTCTAATTTAGGTTAGTATTGTGGAGTAACTACAATGTTGTTGATCCATCCGTTTTCTCCTTTCACAGCCATTAAACGCTGTAACTGTTTTAAAGTCACCATTGGCCTCATGGTGAAATCCCTGAGCAGTTTCCTTCCTCTTTGGCAACTGAGTTAGGTAGGACGCCTGTATCTTTGTAATGACTGGGTCTATTGATACAAAATCCAAGTAATAACTTCACCATGCTCAAAGGGATATTCAGATAATTGTATGTGTGGGGTACAGAGATGAGGTAGTCGTTCAGAAATCATGTTAAGCACTATTATTGCATACAGAGAGAGTCCATGCAACTTATTATGTGACATGTTAAGCACATTTTACTCCTGAACGTATTCAGGCTTGTTATAACAAAGGGGTTGAATACTTATTGACAAGACATTTCAGCTTTTCATTTTTAATTAATTTATAAACAAATTCGAAAAACATACAGTGAGGGAAAAAAGTATTTGATCCCCTGCTGATTTTGTATGTTTGCCCACTGACAAAGACATGATCAGTCTATAATTTTAATGGTAGGTTTATTTGAACAGTGAGAGACAGAATAACAACAAAAAAATCTAGAAAAACGCATGTCAAAAATGTTATAAATTGATTAGCATTGTAATGAGGGAAATAAGTATTTGACCGCTCTGCAAAACATGACTTAGTACTTGGTGGCAAAACCCTTGTTGGCAATCACAGAGGTCAGACGTTTCATGTAGTTGGCCACCAGGTTTGCACACATCTCAGGAGGGATTTTGTCCCACTCCTCTTTGCAGATCTTCTCCAAGTCATTAAGGTTTCGAGGCTGACGTTTGGCAACTCGAACCTTCAGCTCCCTCCACAGCTTTTCTATGGGATTAAGGTCTGGAGACTGGCTAGGCCACTCCAGGTCCTTAATGTGCTTCTTCTTGAGCCACTCCTTTGTTGCCTTGGCCGAGGGAAGGAGGTTCTCACCCAAGATTTGACGGTACATGGCCCCGTCCATCGTCCCTTTGATGCGGTGAAGTTGTCTTGTCCCCTTAGCAGAAAAACACCCCCAAAGCATAATGTTTCCACCTCCATGTTTGATGGTGGGGATGGTGTTCTTGGGGTCATAGGCAGCATTCCTCCTCCTCCAAACACGGCGAGTTGAGTTGATGCCAAAGAGCTCGATTTTGGTCTCATCTGACCGCAACACTTTCACCCAGTTCTCCTCTGAATCGTTCAGATATTCATTGGCAAACTTCAGATGGCAATGTATATGTGCTTTCTTGAGCAGGGGGACCTTGCGGGCGCTGCAGGATTTCAGTCCTTCACGGCGTAGTGTGTTACCAATTGTTTTTTGGGTGACTATGGTCCAAACTGCCTTGAGATCATTGACAAGATGCTCCCGTGTAGTTCTGGGCTGATTCCTCACCGTTCTCATGATCATTGCAACTCCACGAGGTGAGATCTTGCATGGAGCCCCAGGCCGAGGGAGATTGACAGTCTTTTGTATTTCTTCTATTTGCGAATAATCACACCAACTGTTGTCACCTTCTCACCAAGCTGCTTGGCGATGGTCTTGTAGCCCATTCCAGCCTTGTGTAGGTCTACAATCTTGCCCCTGACATCATTGGAGAGCTCTTTGGTCTTGGCCATGGTGGAGAGTTTGGAATCTGATTGATTGATTGCTTCTGTGGACAGGTGTCTTTTATACAGGTAACAAACTGAGATTAGGAGCACTCCCTTTAAGAGTGTGCTCCTAATCTCAGATCGTTACCTGTATAAAAGACACCTGGGAGCCAGAAATCTTTCTGATTGAGAGGGGGTCAAATACTTATTTCCCTCATTAAAATGCAAATCATTTTATAAAAATTTTTACATGCGTTTTTCTGGATTTTTTGGTTGTTATTCTGTCTCTCACTGTTCAAATAAACCTACCATTGTCACGTTCGCTTAAGGAGGAGGACCAATGCGCAGCGTTGAATGCGTACATATTATTTATTAAACAGATCACCCGATCAAAACAACGAACGAAACGTGAAGTACTTCGATACACTCAAACCAAAAGGAACAAGAAACCACAACACAAAGTGAAAAGACCGATAGTTAAATATGGCTCCCAATCAGAGACAACCAGCTGACACTCATTGCCTCTGATTGGGAGTCACTCAGGCCAACATAGATATACAAAACATAGACTTACACACCCTGGCTCAACATAACATAGTCCCCAGAGCCAGGGCGTGACAGTACCCCCCCCCCAAAGGCGCGGACTCCGGCCGCGCCAAACAACCACAACAGGGGAGGGACCGGGTGGGCACTCCTTCTCGGCGGCGGATCCGGCTCCGGACATGACCCAGGCACGGGTTGTGCTGGACTGACGACGCACACCCCTGGCTTGATGCGTGGAGGAGGAACGGGCCGGACCGGGCTGACGAAGCGCACCCCTGACTTGGTGCGGGGAGCAGGAATGAGCCGGACCGGGCTGACGACGCGCACCACTGACCTGGTGCGGGGAGCTTGGATGGGCCGGACTGGGCTGGCGACGCGCACCACAGACTTGGTGCGGAGAGCAGGAACGGGCCGGACAGGGCTGACGAAACGCACCATAGACTTGGTGCGGAGAGCAGGCACGGGCCGTGCCGGACTGACGACGCACACCACTGGCTTGGTGCGGGAAGCTTGGATGGGCCGGACTGGGCTGGCGACGCGCACCACAGACTTGGTGCGGAGAGCAGGAACGGGCCGTGCCGGACTGACGACGCACACCACTGGCTTGGTGCGGGAAGCTTGGATGGGCCGGACCGGGCTGGCGACGCGCACCACCGACTTGGTACGGAGAGCAGGAACGGGCCGGACAGGGCTGACGACGCGCACCACAGGCTCGGTGCGAGAGGCAGGAACAGGCCGAACCGTACTGGGGACACACGCCACTGGCCCTATGCAGGGATCAGGAACGGGCCGGACCGGACTGGTAATACACCCCAGTACCTCTCGCCGTGCCTCCACACTTTACCTCTCCTCTGTGACCAGTGGCCCCCTTAACCTGGCGGCCTCCTCTTCACACCCGCTGGACCGCTCCTTCGCGGCCTCCTGCTGCCCCGTCGTCCACGTCGTGAGCCCCCCCCTAAAAAATTTCTGGGGTTCTCTCCTCCCCGTGGACCAGGCCTCCCTAGCTCTCGCCAGACTCTCGATCCATTGCTTCATAGACCAGCCTCTCTCCTCTTCACTTAGCGTGGCCCAGCCGAAACTCCTACTCCCCTGATCCCAGGTCCTTCCTCTCTCCTCTTCATGCTGCTTGGTCCTGTCTTGGTGGTTTCTTCTGTCACGTTCGCTTAAGGAGGAGGACCAATGCGCAGCGTTGAATGCGTACATATTATTTATTAAACAGATCACCCGATCAAAACAACGAACGAAACGTGAAGTCCTTCGATACACTCAAACCAAAAGGAACAAGAAACCACAACACAAAGTGAAAAGACCGATAGTTAAATATGGCTCCCAATCAGAGACAACCAGCTGACACTCGTTGCCTCTGATTGGGAGTCACTCAGGCCAACATAGATATACAAAACATAGACTTACACACCCTGGCTCAACATAACATAGTCCCCAGAGCCAGGGCGTGACAACCATTAAAATTGTAGACTGGTCATTTCTTTGTCAGTGGGCAAACTTACAAAATCAGCAGGGGATCAAATACTTTTTTCCCTCACTGTAATTCCACTTTGACATTATGGGGTATTGTGTGACTTTCTGAAGGCGATGTAGCTGTAAGGAAAATTGAGGGGGACATTTCATTCTGATCATTGTGTGGTGGTACTCTGATCTGTGTTACCTCAATCTCCAGAACTCTAACTCAACAATGACACAAACTCTATTGGGAGAGGGAAGGACATAATAAATCGCAACAAGCATCCTCCACATATATAAACCAAACATAAATCCCAAAACTGTCAGTCATCCTTTGACATGTCATACGGACTCATGAGCAGTCATAGACGCTGGTAGGAACTGGAGCGAAATGCAACAATTTATATTTTTCATTAGAAACAAGGCTGTCACTTTTAATGCATGTCACAATGGTGATAATTCATGGGATGAAACATGGCACCACGGATGTACAGGAGTAATTGTGTTGGGCTTTGAGCGCCACGCTAGCATGAGATAATTCTCTGCTTCAGTGTCTGATCCTTTTACTGAAATCCTGCTCGACTGCCACACACACACACACACACATTAGTTCGCTACTGTGGACCCCTATATAAAGCTCATAATGATGAGCCTTTTTGACATTAGAGAAAGCAGAGTAAACCCTGATGCCTAAAGACTTTTGTTAGAGAAAAATACATTATTACAGAGTTCATGGAGCAAAGCATTGTTTTCCCCCAGAATGCACTGTGGGGAAATTGAATGAGTTAGAGACAATGGGACGGGAAGACATGCAAAGCCTATGAGGAGAAAAGAAAATAAACTAATATACAAACAATATACATTTTGTTACATTACAGCCTTATTCAAACATTTATTAAATTGACTTTTTTCGTCATCAATCTACACACAATAATCCACAATGACAAAGCAAAAACAGTAGTTTTTCTGTGTGTGCAAATTTATTAAAGCCTCGAGTCTTCTTGGGTATGACGCTACAAGCTTGGCACACCTGTATTTGGGGGGTTTCTCCTTTTTTTCTCTGCAGTTCCTCTCAAGCTCTGTCAGGTTGGATGGGGAGCGTCACTGCACAGCTATTTTCAGGTCTCTCCAGAGATGTTAGATCGGGTTCAAGTCTGGGCTCTGGCTGGGCCACTCAAGGACATTCAGAGACTTGTCCCAAAGCCACTCCTGCGTTGTCTTGGCTGTGTGCTTAGGGTCGTTGTCCTGTTGGAAGGTGAACCTTCACCCCAGTCTGAGGTCCTGAGCACACTGGAGCAGGTTTTCATGAAGGATCTCTCTGTATTTTGCTCTGTTCATCTTTCCCTTCATCCTGACAAGTCTCTGAAAAACATCCCCACAGCATGATGCTGCCACCACCATGCTTCAACGTAGTGATGGTGCCAGGTTTCCTCCAGACGTGACGCTTGGCCTCAATCTTAGTTTCATCAGACAAAATAATCTTGTTTCTCATGGTCTGAGTCTTTAGGTGCCGTTTGGCAAACTCCAAGTGGGCTGTCATGTGCCTTTTACTGAGGAGTGGCTTCCGTCTGGCCACTCCACCATAAAGGCCTGATTGGTGGAGTGCTGCAGAGAAGGTTGTCCTTCTGGAAGGTTCTCCCATCTTCACAGAGGAACTCTGGAGCTCTGTCAGAGTGACCATCGGGTTCTTGGTCACCTCCCTGACCAAGGCCCTTCTCCACCGATTGCTCAGTTTGGCTGGGTGGCCAGCTCTAGGAAGAGTCTTGGTGGTTCCAAACTTCTTCCATTTAAGAATGATGGCCATTGTGTTCTTGGGGAACTTCAATGCTTCAGAAATTGTTTGGTACCCTTCCCCAGTTCTGTGCCTCGACACAATCCACAGGTGGACTCCAATCAAGTTGTAGAAACATCTCAAGAATGATCAATGGAAACAAGATGCACCTGAGCTCAATTTTGAGTCTCATAGCAAAGGGTCTGAATACTTATGTAAATAAGGTATTTCTGTTATTTTCTTTAAATATAAATGTGGAAAAATGTCTAAACACCTGTTTTCAATTTGTTATTATGGGGTATTGTGTGTAGATTGATGTGGATGTTTTATTTATTTCATCCATTTTAGGGGGGTCTGAATACTTTCCGAATGCACTGTATGTTATGTCCTTGTTATGACAGTGTTATGTAGCCCTTATTCTATTTAACCTTTATTTAACCAGAAAAAGCCCATTAAGACACATAGACTCTTTTGCATGGGAGATCTGGCCTCAAGGCAGCAGCATATGATGGAGGATGAGGTGTATCATAGTATCCCTCATAAGGTTACTGGATTGTCCCTTCAAATTCTGGTTTTACAATGCAGTAGGACTGTATTGTCTACAGATTGCCATCAACTGTTCTTAAAACTATGACAATCCCAAAACACTCATTGGCCATTTTTCCCCTCCAATGAACACAGAGACAACTCTTCCTGGGTCGATATAAATATAGAAAAACAAATTCCACATTCAGATTTTGGTTGAGATATTTTTCTGTGATTTATATTCTGCATGTGCGGGGCAGAGGGAAATACATCATGGTTTGACACCCCTCATGTTCCCTCTTCCTTAAATCACCATGAACACTCCTGTCTGGCAGCCTGCGATTTATACATCAGACGTTTCCCCTTGCCAGGCTATGATCATGTTTTTTCTCTTCCCTCTCATTTTTTTTTCTAGATCTGCCAAGTGAATATCCTAAACCGTGGAATGAAGTACCTTTGTTGCCTTGTTTTCTAGATTAACCTTGTAATTGTTTAGAAAGTAAATGATGTGGTCCTACCGATTATCTCCCTGTGTGTGTGTGTGTGTGTGTGTGTGTGTGTGTGTGTGTGTGCGTGTGTGTGTGTGCGTGTGTGTGTGTGTGTGTGTGTGTGTGTGTGTGTGTGTGTGTGTGTGTGTAGTGTGTGTAGTGTGTGTATGGCAGGTTGAAAGAGCAGTTGGCCTGAGAGGCCTGTCATTAGGATGGAGAGGTACAGGTTCATTAGGATAAAGAGGTATATGTTCATTAGGATGGAGAGGTACATGTTCATTAGGATGGAGAGGTACATGTTCATTAGGATGGAGAGGTACATGTTCATTAGGATGGAGAGGTACATGTTCATTAGGATGGAGAGATACATGTTCATTAGGATGGAGAGGTACAGGTTCATTAAGGGCCCAGCCTGATTAACTGTTCCACTGATAATGAAGATGGCTGATTCCTTTGTGTCATTACAGGTTGAAAATGGTCTTCTCCACAAACAGATTAAACTTCCCCCTTATACACACCACCTCCACCCCACATCTACACACAGTGATTAAAGAAAATGGTGGATTGAAGGGAGAACTCAAGATCAGGTTAATTGCAGAGACAGATGCCTAGCTGTCTGTCACATGCAGTATCAACACAGTAAATCAGGCCCTGTAATCCAGTGACAGGCCTGTGTTTAATGCCCTCCCCCATCTTTTGACATTTTAGTCATTTAGCAGATGTTCTTATCCAGAGCGACTTACAGGAGCAATTAGGGTTAAATGCCTTTGCTCAAAGGAACATCAACATCTTTTTTTCACCTTGTTGGCTCGGGATTCAAACCAGCAACCTTTCGGTTCCTGTCCCAACACTCTAACTGCTAGGCTACCTGCTGCCCCCTCGCCTGTCTACATTTACGTCATTATGTCTACACCCATACACCCCACCCTGTTTATCCTGCAGATCATTAACCTCTGACCCTCGCCAACCTCATCCTGTCAACGTGTCAGAGTGTGTTGTGCGGTACAAATCAGCCTGTATTTATGGATGTGTGTGTGTGTGTGTGGCTCTGCCTCGTTCATCCATCTGCACTCCACCTTGTCATCAGCCCAGCCCTCAGCACCCAGTTTTAATAAGGCAGGCCAAGAGAGGCTTAACTCAGCAGGCAGCGCAACACCAGGCAAGAGGCACTAATGAGTTGTGTTAGTGGGGGAAATGAGAGAGTGAGGCCTGGCGTAGTCTTTTACATTACTGTAGATCCACTGGGAGTCGGAGCAGTCGCTAGCCACGCCGGAACAGTAGCACTTCTCGCAGCCGCAGAGATGGTAGAAACCCAGCTTGCAGTGGTCACAGTTTTCCCCCTCCACGTTTTCCTGGAAGATGTACACACACACACATACACACAAGGACGATGTGCTATACAGGCACTCACACACTGTGACAGCCCACACACCCCCCAGGGACAGACGTTCCCTCTCTCCAAATATCACATAGTAGACAAAAGTAATTAAAATAATAACTAATGTGAAAAACATTGAGCTGATGCCGTTAACATTCTATAAAGTCTGACCACCACACATTGAGAGAAAGTCTCCTATCAAACATTATCTGTAACAACTGGTGGTGATTGCAGCCGAAACGCGTCGGATAAAAAAAATAATCTTGTTTCTATTGAACATGCCATACTATTAAAGGCATTTTAATTAATTATATGAAGAGTGCCTTGGACCTCCTTTCTTTTTGATGACCAATTCACCCCCTTGACCAAAGAGCACCTTCTGTCTACCAACATTTACTGTTGTGTACCTTAGTAGCGCTTCCCTTCCTCCTCTTTCTACTGGTGGTGATTGTTGTTTTCTGGTTGAATCTTAGATTATTAATCACCGCATGCACAGACAGATAAACACTTGGCAAAATCAACACTTTTATATGCCATCATCCCTGAGCTTCTGCTAACAAATCGCAATGGACATTCATTTTGTATGCCCACACAGCCAAAGCCAGGATTCTGTAGTTTTGAGTGGCTAGATACTTTATCTCGCCTGGGGAAAAGAAAGAGGACATGAAAGCATTACGCATTACAGGGCCAATTCAAATCCCCTGTTGGACTGCATTTTTTTCTCCCCATGTTTGTGTATTGTAAATAGTGTCTTCATGTATCATAGTCAGTCTTTTATGCCGCACTGGTTCCCAAACTGTGGGGCCGCGAGGGGTCGGCTTTAAACTTGGACTACAGGAGACAGCAGTCCGGCTTTAAACTTACTCTTGAAAGTTGTAATAGTAGAGTGCACAAGGTGCAATTTCGAAATTGGGTAGTGCATCATCAGTTCCTCTTGTCATGTGAGTTATTGCATACCTTAGAGAGCTATTTATAACTTGTCAGAAATGTCCAGATAGCTATTGTTTTTTTGTCACTCAAATATCACATGAATACATATTAGACATGGCAAAATGTATAGAATTGCAGGAAATAAGCTTTAAACCTGCAAAATTCTCTCCACCAACAAGAGGGGTGTGAACAGTATGTGTCATGAACAATGCTTGTGCTCATAGAAATAGACGTGGTGCGTGCACACGTGCGCAGGGGGGGGGGCGCGGGATGTTCCCCTATGCTGGAAGGGGGGCCCCGAGTGAAAAGGTTAGGGAACATCTGCTTTATGGCATTGCATTGCAATCCTGGAATGCCACTTGCTCTTGAAATATAATTTCCTTTCATTTCCAAATATTTTATTCCATTTGGTGACTGTTTAACACTCTGATGGCCTGGGAGATAGAAGCTGTTTATCAGTCTCTCGGTCCCAGGTTTACTGTCTCCTCCTTCTAGATGGTAGCGGGGTGAACAGGCTGTAGCTTGGGTGGCTGAGGTCCTTGATTATCTTCTTGGCCTTCCTGTGACACCGGGTGCTGTAGATGTCCTGAAGGGCAGGCAGTGTGCCCCCGATGATGGGCTGACTGCACCACCTACTGGAGAACCCTGCGGTTGCGGACAGTGCAATGGCCGTACCAGGCAGTGATACTGCCCGACAGGATGCTATCAATGGTGCATCTGTAGAAGTTTCTAAGGCGCTGTTGCTTCTTCTTCACCACACTATCTGTGTGAAAGGAACAACTTTTGATCTCTCCACTGCGGCCCTGTCGATGTGGATGGGGGCGTGCTCTCTCTGCTGTCTCCTATAGTCCATGATCAGCTCCTTCGTTTTATTGACGTTGAGCGAGAGATTATTTTCCTGGAACCACTCCGCCAACGCTCTCACCTCCTCCCTGTAGGCCGTCTCGTCATTGTTGGTAATCAAGCCTTCCACTTGATGATTGAGTTGGAGACGTGCGTGGCCACATAGTCATGGGTGAACAGGGAGTACAGGAGGGGGCTGAGCAGGCACCCCTGTGGGGCCCCTGTGTTGAGGATCAGTGTGGCGGAGGTGTTGTTGCCGTCCTTCACCACTTGGGGTCGGCCCATCAGGAAGTCCAGTACCCAGCTGCACAGGGAGGGGTTCAGACCCAGGGCCCTGAGCTTAGTGATGAGGGCACTATGTTGATGAAAGCTGCGCTGTAGTCGATAAACAGCATTCTTACATAGGTATTTCTCTTGTCCAGGTGGGATAGGGCTGTGTGCAGCGCAATGGCGATTGCGTCATCAATGGATCTGTTGCGGTGGTATGCGAATTCTAGTGGGTCTAGGTTATCGGTTAAGGTGGAGGTGATATGGTCCTTAACTAGCCTCTCAAAGCACTTAATGATAACAGAAGTGAGTGCTACGGGGCAATAGTCATTTAGTTCAGTTACCTTTGCTTTCTTGGGTACAAGGACAAGGTGGACATCTTGATGCAAGTGGGGACAACAGACTGGGATATGGAGAGATTGAATATGTCCGTAAACACTCCAGCCAGCTGGTCTGCAGATCTTCTGAAGACGAGGCTTGGGATGGAGTCTTGGCAGGCGGCCTAACGAGGGTTAACACACTTAAATTACTTAATCATGTCAGCCACAGAGAACGAGAGTACACAGACCTAGTGAGTGGAGGGGGCCCGCGTTGGCGCATCTTTGGCAACGAATACAGCCTTGAGTCTTCTTGGGTATGACGCTACAAGCTTGGCACACCTGTATTTGGGGAGTTCCTCCCATTCTTCTCTGCATATCCTCTCAAGCTCTGTCAGGTTGGATGGGGAGCGTCGCTGTACAGCTATTTTCAAGTCTGTTATGACGAGTTTATGCAGACTCTGTGGCACCAAGAATTACCTATCTAACTTTGTTCCCACAACACTATGACAATACATTATAACAAGGTCTCTCCAGAAATGTTAGATCAGGTTCAAGTCCGGGCTCTGGCTGGGCCACTCAAGGACATTCAGAGACTTGTCCCAAAGCCACTCCTGCGTTGTCTTGGCTGTGTGCTTAGGGTTGTTGTCCTGTTGGAAGGTGAACCTTCGCCCCAGTCTGAGGTCCTGAGTGCTCTGGAGCAGGTTTTCATCAAGGATCTCTCTGTACTTTGCTCTGTTCATCTTTCCCTCGATCCTGATTAGTCTCCCAGTACCTGCCGATGAAAAACATCCCCACAGCATGATGCTGCCCCACCATGCTTCACTGTAGGGATGGTGCCAGGTTTCCTCCAGACGTGACTCTTGGCATTCAGGCCAAAGAGTTCAATCTTGGTTTCATCAGACCAGAAAACTTGTTTCTCATGGTCCCAGTCCTTTAGGTGCCTTTTGGTAAACTCCAAGCGGGCTGTCATGTGCCTTTTGCTGAGGAGTGGCTCCGTCTGGCCACTCCACCATAAAGGCCTGATTGGTGGAGAGCTACAGAGATGGTTGTCCTTATGGAAGGTTCTCCCATCTCCACAGAGGAACTCTGGAGCTCTGTCGGAGTGACCATCGGGTTCTTGGTCAACTCCCTGACCAAGGCCCTTCTCCACCGATTGCTCAGTTTGGCTGGGCGGCCAGCTCTAGGAAGAGTCTTGGTGGTTCCAAACTTCTTCCATTTAAGAATGATGGCCATTGTGTTCTTGGGGAACTTCAATGCTTCAGAAATTGTTTGGTACCCTTCCCCAGATCTGTGCCTCGACACAATCCACAGGTGGACTCCAATCAAGTTGTAGAAACATCTCAAGGATGTTCACATTTCCTTTGACCTCATGGCTTGGTTTTTGTTCTGACTTGCACTGTCAACTGTGGGACCTTTATATAGACAGGTGTGTGCCTTTCCAAATCTTGTCCAATCGATTGAATTTACCACAGGTGGACTCCAATCAAGTTGTAGAAACATCTCAAGGATGATCAATGGAAACAGGATGCACCTGAGCTCAATTCTGAGTCTCATAGCAAAGGGTCTGAATACTTATGTAAATAAGGTATTTCTGTTTTTTATTTATAATAAATTAGCAAAAATGTCTAGAAACCTGTTTTTGCTTTGTCATTATGGGGTATTGTGTGTAGATTGATGAGGGGAAAATGTATTTAATAAATTTTTGAATAAGGCTGTAACGTAACAAAATGTGGAAAAGTGGAAGGGGTCTGAATACTTTCCGAATGCACTGTAGCTCAATTCTAGTGTATTTTATTTTATTCCTCTTGTTCCTATTTTATTTTTTAACTCTGCATTGTTGGGAAGGGCTCCTAAGCATGCATTTCACAGTAAAGTCTACAGCAGTTGTATTCTGTGTATGTGACAAATACATTTAGATTTGATTTGATTTAAATCCTGTGCCATTATTTTATATTATATGATTTTATAGTAAGAAGACTACGATTGAACAATTGAATAAAATAGAAAGTATATTTTTCCCCATTCCGGAGTGAGTGCGCATATGAAGTGGCTATGTTGAGCGTAAAAGTGATCATTTAAACAGGTCCTGTATGCTAGATTTTGAGTTATTTGGCAACTTTAGTTGTGAATGATACAAATCTTAGAATGTCTTAGAAATGAAAACATATTTATTTGTTTATATTTAACTAGGCAAGTCAGTTAAGAACAAATTCTTATTTACAATGACGGCCTACCCCGACCAAACCCGGACGACGCTGGGCCAATTGCGCGCCGCCCTATCCCAATCACGGCCAGATTGTGATACAGCCTGGAATCAAACCAGGGTCTGTAGTGATGCCTCTAGCACTGAGATGCAGTGCCTTAGACTGCTGCGCCACTCAGGAGCCCATATTTGGGCTGCATGATGCAATTATAGGCTATTGATGATTTGAGAAAGCTTGCACATTGTTTCTTGCATCAGGTTGTACACCCTGTTCTCTCATCAAGTGATCATATTTTCCTTCATCAGACTATTCTCAATTTAATCATGTCTTCACTAATATGTAAAATTAGTTGTGATTTAGAATGGCCCAATATCAAATGGACAGGAACAGGGGCAGGGAAAAAAAGACATGTAATATGTATGCACTCGAATAACAAATGGAGGCTGCTTTCCGCTGGTTCATTTTTCTATCATGCCAGGAAGGCTACTCCGGTTATTTCGCTTAATGCATAAACCACAGTTTGAGGAGCATGCAGCCTCTTGCTGTGCGACAGGTGATATTCTGACCAAACTCTGTATGCCATGGGCTCTCCAACCCTGTTCCTGCAGCTATCCAGTGCTTAATTTGGGAAACCAAGTGAAATCTGTTCGGGAACATCGATAGTAACGTTTTCACAAATAAACATATTTCATTAAACTGCTGACAGCCTTCTCTGTGTGCTCGAGAAAGGAATGAAGGAGAGAGAGGAGCCGATGGAAACACACAGTGGTGAGATATTCTGTAGCTAAAAGTAATGTGTCAGCCTATTAATTATGAAAATATTCAAAATCAAATACAAATTCACTATAATTGTAGGCTAACTCGGTAAGCCACCCTGCACAATCAATGAACTAGCAGCATCGCTTAGGCCTATACATTCTCTCCCAGACTCATGGATAGAAAGTTTGGAGCGTAGCTTAAGGTAACCAGTCCATCCAGTATGCATTATAATACAGTCCACACTCAAAGGCGATTACTAGTGGTTTAATTATCGAGTATAAGCTAGACCAATTATGTACCAAAGACATCTTAAATCAGTTTTTTTAAAATGTTTTTCTGCTGTTCGTAATATGCAGTAGGCTATGTATCTTACAACGGCACAATCATTATTTAATTCAGGAGGGGGTTTCGGGCTTGGGCTCATATATAGACCTTTGTGTATGCATAAGCTCTAATATTCGTATGGGTGTTTTGAATTAATCATCACCTTAGAAAGCACTGTCCATTTCGTTGTGTTAGGCTTTGAAACAACATCCATAACAACCATGTTTTCCACTCAGTTTCAACCTGTTGTTGAACTTCTTTCTTCAAATTGATCAATCACAGTGAGGTGAGTTTTAAAAGCACGATACTGTTTTGATGATAAGTGTTTGATGTGATTTTCTAATGCATTTGCATTGATGTCAGAGTGGTTAGAGGGACAATAGATCCCTGAGTACCAAGCCATTAGCGACCTGATGGTTGTTAGTGACTTGGGTGCTACCAACACATGTCCAGAGTGCATAAGAGGAGATTACCGTGACTCAATGGTCACGTGTAATTTTACTGCGGTCATGACTCATGATTGCCGATGTGGCAGGAATATGGTCACCACAACAGCCCTAGGGAGGGCCTTGTAGCCGTCCCGGAAGGGAGAGTAGCAACGATCAAGAGTTTGTGATGCACGTGTAGCACAGGAGATGTGTTGATAGAATGTCGGTATCGTTTTCCTCAGATTTCCTTTATTAAAGTCCCCAGCTACAATAAATGCGGCCGCAGGATATGTGGTTTCCAGTTTGCACATAGTCCAGTGTAGTTCCTTGAGAGCCGTTGCAGTGTCAGCTTGGGGGGGCAAATACACTTGGGGGGTAATGCAGTCGGCATTTGATGCTGAGGTATTCCAGATCGGGAGAACAAAAGGACCTGAGTTCATATACATTACCACAATCACACCATGAATTGTTAATCATGAAACAAACCCCTCCGCCTTTCTTTTTCCCTGAGAGTTCTTTCTTCCTGTCCGCGCGATGGACAGAGAACCCCACTGGCTGAATGGATGGGGACAATATATCCGGAGAGAGACATGATTCCGTAAAACAGAGTATGTTACAGTCCCTGATGTCTTTCTGGAAGGAAATCCTCACCCTGAGCTCGTCTACTTTATTGTCCAGGGACTGAACGTTAGAGCGAAAATATGCTCGGAAGCGGTGGATGGTATGCACGCCTGACTAGGGCCCCACTTCTTCTCCGGCGTTGGCGTTTTGGTGCAGCCCCTGGGATGAATAGAGCTGCCTCGGGAAGTTCAAACAAAGCTAGAATTTCTGGTGAGTGACCGCTAATCTAATGTCCAAAAGTTATTTTGGGCTGTAGGTAATAATACAAGAAACATTCTGAGCTAATCTAAGAAATAATCCCCCCAAAATTATAATACTGCAAAGTTGCCAGTATTTGTCATACTGTCATATTACTGCTTGGGCACTTTGCAGACTGTCAAATGGGGACTGGCACACCCTAAATGACATGATTTCTGAGGTAAGGATTCCCAATAACTGAATTGGAAAAAACATGTTTGTGTGTTTACAGTATATTGTATGACTTAGAAAAAAAGGTAATAAGCAATATAATACTTTTTTGCAAGATGTTACCAAGGGAAACAAGATGTGGTACTTGAGAAATGATTAGCTCCAGTAAATGTTACATTAAACCAGCATTCTCCTGAGGCGAGTTCTCTAACTGGAGAAAGTGATGAAAAAGTGGGAAAAAAGTTTCAGTAGCATCTGACTCAGCTGGAGACACAACGAAATGCAATGTTTGACTGCACATCCTCCCCACAGCTCAATAATTAGACCAATAGAAAGCAAAGTTCACCGGTGCTCCTTGACATCCCTGCGGTGAGATGGTATAATTGGCTAGTGAAACAGTGAGCTTGCCCAGGGTATGACATGTGTAAGACATGAGTGCGCACAATAGCAGTGGAGGAAGTAGCCAGCTAATTTGAACAACAAATGATGAGTCAAATTCTATACTGGAGCAATTAGTGAGAAGAATTTGAGGGGACTCGGAGCTGTTGGCCCTACGAAGGCGTAAAGCATCGCGCTGATGTGTCCACCCCTGACATTGAATGGATTGGTTCCGGTGGTGTGGGCAGATAGGAAGAAGGGAGGATAGAGGCCTTTTCTCAATTGGATTTGCTTACCTCCTGCGTCCTCACCTCTTGCGTCCATACCTCAGCGTCCTCACCTCCTGCGTCCTTTCTTGTCTCCTTTAAAAAAAGTTCAAAGGTAATCGAGGAGAGGGAACGTGGATGAAAATGCAGTTGTATGAAATGAAACTCTCCTTCTCCACTCGCGTGTCATCAGGGAAAGTATGTTTACAGGGGTGGATCCCAAAATAAATGTGTAAAGTGATAAAAACAAATGTAATTAGTTGTGCAAGACATTTTATAGATACAATTATAAGTAGCATATTGCTTTTAAACGTGTGCATGCTTTTTCCTCAGACAAAACAAAAGCTGATTCAAAGAGGGTGTGGCAGATTTCTAAACTCTTCCGCGAGGGACTCAGGTAGGATACGCATGACTATCCTCGATGAAAGGTGGCTATCGAGGAGGGGAGGACACCGTTCCCTTTGCCTACTAACAAACTGACATTTCCTCGACCACTCATCGGTTTCCGAGTAACAGAGAAGTGAAGACAGAGGAGAGAGATTGGAGGACGGACTTTTGCCCTAATGAGAAAAGGCCAGAGAGATGGGGGCGGAGGAGGAGAGAGTGGCCTACCTTGCAGACACAGGGCAGCTGGCAGGGTCCTTGTTTAGCCTTCCATCTAGACTGCAGTTACAGCGGACACAGTTGGGGTAGCCGCTGTAGCCAATGGCACACCTGTCACACTGCTGTCGCCTGTAACCCTGCATACATTGGCAGGATCCAGCCGTGAGGACTGTGGGACGAGACAGGGGAGATACAGGCTTCAGCAGTAAACATATGGCAGCTAGATCAGCATAGAGAGGAGAACTGTGGTGGTTAAGTAGTACCATACCTCCTTCAGCCTGGGACTGGTCTGGGACACACGCTGGGGACAGAGAGCCTGGTGGGTCACAGGAGCAGGGCTGACACGGGTCTGAGTCCTCTGGACTCACCTGGAGGGAACAGGGGAGCAGGAGACTCAGGCCAGGAAAAACTCTTAACCCTAGTCACAATACAAAGCTATAGATACAAAGTGAGATTGCTATTGAGTATTCACTAATATGCGTCTCAGTCATTGCTTGGATCCTAGTCAACTGGGATCAACAGTACATACCCCAGTGGGTCTGTAGTAGCCGTCAGCACAGGTCTGGCAGTTGACCCCGGCTGTGTTCCTGGTGCACCCCACACACACCCCTCCCCCAACATACTCCCCATTGGAGTTCAGGCTCTGTTTGTTGTCTCCAACTGTCTAGTTGAAGTAACACTCCTCAGATTTCCCAAGACAGTTACACTCTGTAGACGGCATCAAATACAATCAAAGGAACGCTTCAGTAAACAAATTGAATTTTTACAGTACCTCACGGAAAATAACTGTATGAAAACATTGTTTAGCACTGTTTACCAGGTGTCTCTTGAGTTGAGTTTGATACATTTTATGAAAATAGAAAATCTATCTCACTGTATGATTACAATGTAGAGAAGTGGCCATAGAGAATGTAGGTTGACTGACATACCTTGGTCTGGTTGTTCACGGGACAGGCTTTAGCATGGCCATAGCAGATACACATCCCTCCAACTGAAATGTCTTTGATAGAGTAGTAATACTGGAAATACATATGAAAAAGAAACAAGTTGAGGAAAATGGAGATCACTGTCATTAATCTTTCTATCATACACTGGCTACTTCTACAAAGCTACAGCACAGTCTAGTTCATTCAAAGACTCATTGGTATTCAGTGTTTATTTCTGAAAGAGTGAGAGATAATTTCATCCACAATTTCATAATTGATGTCCATTTGGTATGACTAAATTGAACAGTATTTTGTAAATGAAAAATTCCTCGCTCAAAATAAGCCCTGCAATCTGTCCGGTAATTATGTGTCACACAGGAGCTCACTGGGTGACTGATTGTGTAGGCCAAAGTCAACACATGATGAGGTGGATGTTGCTCAGAAAGAAACAGATTTCTTAATTATAGACATTTTTAATTAAGACCCATCTGTCTGGTGAGCGCAATGTAATCAACATGCCACCGTGGCCATTTCACCGATGGTGGTGGGTAGAAAGAAATACAGTAGTGGCACACAGATGGAATACATAATGCTATATGAAAGTGATTGTGGTGCGTGGTCAACAGCACGTTCCTTCATTCTTACCCGCCTGGTCACGATTGGGTCGACATCGCGGGCGTCATTTAAGGCCAGGGTCATGAGGTCGGCGTTGAGGGTTCTGATTCGCTGGAACTGTCGGCGGATGTAGCATGCAGAGGTGAGTTCAGTAAGGTCGGGGAGGGGTCATCGGCACTCAGCCTTCCATTGATCAGAGAGATGTGGATCTATGCCCCAGGTGCAAATTGAGAGAGACAAAGCACTGAATGGATTCTTAGTAAGTTATACAGGAAAAGGGAGATCTTTAGTGACCTCTATTCAAGCTTTTCCTACACATATTTAACAAAGACTGAATTCAATCTCTACTCAGCAAATCCATAAAACAGCCGCATAACAACATTCACAGCACTCCACTGCTGTGGTAAGAAGAAAATACATTATTAATGGACCTGGTAGGAAAAAACTTGCGTGTGTTAATGGGTGTGTGTATGTTTGTGTATTCTTATTTGTGTGAGGTAGGATTTCCTTCCCCAAATCCTCAATGAAAACAAATATGGAAAATGCTGGATATGGATGACGCAACAGAAAATAGAGAGCATATCTTGACTGAATTAGCACACCAGGAAATAAAATGTGCCAAGTCTGTATGCCTAACTTGTAAACAGGATGTCTAATGTTAAGGCAACTGTGTTGATCACAACTGAAATCAAGAAATGTCCATTTGATTATGAGAAGCTGGTGAGTGACTTCAAAGCTGACTGATGAAATTGAACTAAACCACCAGAGCATTTAAATACTAATGTAGTTGGCAATCAAATGTTAGCAGCAAATGGCTTCCATACATGTCCATTGAAGCAAGTGAATGAATGTGCTGGTGTTCTTATTTCATGTGGGCCATGGGTGAATCTAATATATTACAGTGAAATGGAATCCACGTTTTTACGTTGTGCATTTGATTTGAAATTGGATTGCAATTTGAAGTGTTCAACAAACATAATCATAACTACTATAAAAATGACTCCCTGTAGCTGTTACGCCACAGCTGACAACTATGACATTTCAGTGACACTATACACTGACCCCTGACCCCTCACCTCTCCATTCTCCAGGGGTTGGATTTTGGAGTAGAAAGACGTGCAGATGACCTCGTCGTAGCGGGTGTAAGATGGCAGTCCTGAGCGAGGCAGAATGTTGAAGCTGGTGAGGCATTCTGTGTCTGTGATGGCGTAGTACTGCCAGGGGGTAAAGATCACCCTGTCCAGAGAACGCTCCAGCGCCCAGTTACCTGGCCTGGGAGAGTTGGCAGCCTTCAGGATCATAGCCTATCTGGAACACCTGGGAGGGAAGTAGAATTCAGATATAACTCAGAAGCTTACATAACTTTTATTTTATTTGTTTATTTTATTTTTGTAAATATATATACAGTACCAGTCAAAAGTTTGGACATACCTACTCATTCAAGGGTTTTCTTTATTTTTACTATTTTCTACATTTTAGAATAATAGTGAAGACATCCAAACAATGAAATAACACATATGGAATCATCTAGTAACCAAAAAAGTGTTAAACAAATCAAAATATATTTTATATTTTAGAATCTTCAAAGTAGCCATCCCTTGCCTTGATGACAGCTTTGCACACTCTTGGCATTCTCTCAACCAGCTTCATGAGGTAATCACCTGGAATGCATTTCAATTAACAGGTGTGCCTTTTTAAAAGTTAATTTGTGGAATTTCTTTCCTTCTTAATGCATTTGAGCCAATCAGTTGTGTTGTGACAAGGTAGGGGTGGTATACAGAAGATAGCCCTATTTGGTAAAAGACCAAGTCCATATTATGACAAGAACAGCTCAAATAAGCAAAGAGAAACAACAGTCCATCATTACTTTAAGGCACGAAGGTCAGTCAATACGGAACATTTCAAGAACTTTGAAAGTTTCTTCAAGTGCAGTCGCAAAAACCATCAAGCGCTATGATGAAACTGGCTCTCATGAGGACCGCCACAGGAAAGGTGTCATCAAGGCAAAGGGTGGCTACTTTGAAGAATCTCAAATATAAAATATGTTTTATATATATAACAAATATAAGATTTGTTTAACACTTTTTTGGTTACAACATGATTCCATATGTGTTATTTCATAGTTTTGATGTCTTCACTATTATTTTACAATGTAGAAAATATTAAAAATAAAGAAAAGCTCTTGAATAAGTAGGTGTGTCCAAACCTTTGACAGGTACTGTATATATTATTTTAAATATATTTTTCTTCTTTATTATTTTCTTTTGAAAGTCCTTCCTTTGTGTCCTGTGAATTGATTGACCCTGAGATTCATATAAGAATATGTGTATGTGACCAATAAAATTTGATTTGATTTTAAGTTTCATATTCAGGTTAAGAAAACACATCTGCTTGTTCAATACGACACTTTAACACGTTCATAGACAAGTGTAAGTCAGCTCGGTGATGTTTGATAGGAAAACACGAGACACTAAAATAAAGAATCCTGTCAGGGAGCATGGTCAAGATTATCGTTATGAAGTCTCCACTCCTGTACAGGATTCTCTACAATATGGATTCCTTCTTTGAGGTTTCCAATGGAACAGCTTATGTAAATACTTTATCTCTGTCCTGGTACATACAGAGACAGCTAAAGCTGATCTGCCCTCAGGTACTCCACCACTGAATAGCTTAAAAGACTGGATCATGGGAATAAAAGACTGGATCATGGGAATACGTATTATTTCCATGATCCAGTCTTTTATTCCCATGATCCAGTCTTTTAAGCTATTCAGTGGTGGAGTACCTAAGGGCAGATCAGCTTTAGCTGTCTCTGTATGTACCAGGACAGAGATAAAGTTACCTTATCTACAGTACTATACCCTCGAAGGACTCGTGAATTTCATCAAGCAGTAAATGAAAGACGGGGAGCACAGGGGCAAGGCGACATTCCACCTTATTTGACAAAACACACAACTCTTTTGTCGCTGACTTCTTCAAGTTAATAATGGCTCCCATCCTGGGAGAACGACTCAGACGAATAAACGACCATGGCACAATCAACATAAAAAATGACTCACGGTTTGCCTCTCATCTACAGTAGATAACGGTGTAGCGTTTCGGTGTTTACAATAGAGAGAGCGCCACTCAACCCAGCACTCATCCCCTGCACTGAAACCCAATAGGATTCTGCCCAGGTAGCAGGGGAAATCTCACAAAGCCTCTTTCTTTCCTTGATTCAGATGAAGCAGGAAAGCAGGAAGGCTGGTTGATGGTGTCCTCACACAGCATAAGGGGTAGGTAGGGGGGATGTTTTCCTTAATGTGATGATTAAATTGGAGCAGTGGAGTATGGTGGTAAGGAGAAATGAAGGCAGAGCGTGACCTGGTAACCACGGTCAGAACACAAGTGTTGGAGTCGCGATCTGACCGTTTGGACTCCAGGCCAGGGCTAGTTTCGAGCTACCATTCCGGTGACATCAGTGACAATAGAGTCAACGCCTGCTTTGCTGTAATATTTTGCCCCTACTGGCTAAGACCTAAGCACTAGTCACATTGACAGCCTTTGAAATAGTTGTGGGTAATTTTAAACACTGCAACAACAAACAAAAATCGCCCGATTTGGGAGACATTTGTTTGTTTGCACATATTCTTTGTTTTGATCAAAAGTTAAGTCAGAGGAGGTTTGCTGTTCCTAAAAATCTGCAGTCGCTATAAGGAATCTGAATGTAGAGCATACAGTTGAAGTTGTAAGTTTACATACACCTTAGCCAAATACAATTCCTGACATTTAATCCTAGTAAATATTCCCTGTCTTAGGTCAGTTAGGATCACCACTTTATTTTAAGAATGTGAAATGTCAGAATAATAGTAGAGAGAATGATTTATTTAAGCTTTTATTACTTTCATCACATTCCCAGTGGGTCAGAAGTTTACACACACTCAATTAGTATTTGGTAGCATTGCCTTTAAATTGTTTAACTTGGGTCAAACGTTTCGTGTAGCCTTCCACAAGCTTCCCACTATAAATTGTGTGAATTTTGGCCCTTTCCTCCTGACAGAGCTGGTGTAACTGAGTCAGGTTTGTAGGCCTCCTTGCTCGAACACGCTTTTTCAGTTCTGCCCACAAATGTTCTATAGGATTGAGGTCAGGGCTTTGTGATGGCCACTCCAATACCTTGACTTTGTTGTCCTTAAGCCATTTTGCCACAACATTGGAAGTATGCTTGGGGTCATTGTCCATTTGGAAGACCCATTTGCGACCAAGCTTTAACTTCCTGACTGATGTCTTGAGATGTTGCTTCAATATATCCACACAATTTTCCTTCCTCATGATGCCATCTATTTGGTGAAGTGCACCAGTCCCTCCTGCAGCAAAGCACCCCCACAGCATGATGCTGCCACCCCCGTGCTTCACGGTTGGGATGGTGTTCTTCGGCTTGCAAGACTCACCTTTTTCCTCCAAACATAATGATAGTCACTATGGCCAAACAGTTCTATTTTTGTTTAATCAGACCAGAGGACATTTCTCCAAAAAGTACGATCTTTGTCCCCATGTGCAGTTGCAAACCGTAGTCTGGCTTTTTTATGGCGGTTTTGGAGCAGTGGCTTCTTCCTTGCCGAGCGGCCTTTCAGGTTATGTCGATATAGGACTTGTTTTACTGTGGATATAGATACTTTTGTACCTGTTTCCTCCAGCATCTTCACAAGGTCCTTTGCTGTTGTTCTGGGATTGATTTGCACTTTTCGCACCAAAGTACGTTAATCTATAGGAGACAGAACGCATCTCCTTCCTGAGCGGTATGATGGCTGCGTGGTCCCATGGTGTTTATACTTCCGTACTATTATTTGTACAGATGAATGTGGTACCTTCAGGAATTTTGAAATTGCTCCCAAGGATGAACCAGACTTGTTGAGGTCTACAAATGTTTTTCTGAGGTCTTGGCTGATTTCTTTTGATTTCCCCATGATGTCAAGCAAAGAGGCACTGAGTTTGAAGGTAGGCCTTGAAATACATCCACAGGTAAACCTCCAATTGACTCAAATGATGTCAATTAGCCTATCAGAAGCTTCTAAAGCCATGACATCATTTTCTGGAATTTTCCAAGCTGTTTAAAGGCACAGTCAACTTAGTGTATGTAAACTTCTGACCCACTGGAATTGTGATACAGTGAATTATAAGTGAAATAATCTGTCTGTAAACAATTGTTGGAAAATGACTTGTGTCATGCACAAAGTATATGTCCTAACCGACTTGCCAAAACTATAGTTTGTTAACATGAAATTTGTGGAGTGGTTAAAAAACGAGTTTTAATGACTCCAACCTAAGTGTATGTAAACTTCCGACTTCAACTGTACATGACAAGGGAATACCAGTAGTGTGTAAAGTAAAGTTGAAGTAAAACAGCAAAATAGAAAGGTCAAGTCAGTGATATATAACCTGCAAACGTCAACCATTTAAATTGCTCTGCCGAGTTAAAGAATAGAACGATGTTAGCCTACCTACACTCAGTTATCTATTTTCCACGTATCACAGGAAGTAATAAAGAATGTCTGTCAAACCCTCTCTTTAATTACTTTGAAATAAGGCCTATGACGCCAGAGAATTCTTGAGGCAATATCTATAGGTCCATTGTTATTTAAATCCACAAAGACGTAGGCTAGCTCCAGCTATAGATAAAGCCAGGTCGCATCACTGGCGTTCTCAACTGGAGGCTGAGGTGCCAAAGTTCCATGGTGTGGGTTTGTTTTGTGTTCCCTTAGGTGCTGAGAATAATCAAACTAAGTCCAGCGCCACTCACTGACAAAACACCTCCGTGTCTACGAATAGCATACCAAGCTTAAGTATCTGTCATGTACAGTATGTGATTAGTCATTAGCTGTCTTATATAATATAATTCAAACATGATCTCTGTGCTAACGTCCTGTATATGAATAACAAGTTTTTTCTCTGACTTAGACATGTAGCATGATCAAAGGCTGTCTATGTGGATTTGTATTTTTTATTTGTATTTTTTTCATATTATCAGACACAAAAACATACCAAAATGCCTACATTTTCCATAGTATTTATGCTCCTGATCAGATCTCCACCGGAGTGTCTGCGCTAAAGCCTTTGGAACATGAACTAATAACTGATTGGACAACGTCAGTCAAACTGGGCAAAAATATAGGGCATAATGACTACAATTCCCAGTCTCGTCGAAAAGTGGCCCAGACGCCAAGACACACACACACTACACACTACACACACTCACAGCCCCCCTCCAACAGTGTCAGTCATTATTCAGATTTCCACTCCAGCAGGGGCTCCTTGATAACGA